ATCTCTTGACTCATGTACTGCTCTGTGAGGACCTGCCTGGTGCTTGCTATGTGCCGGGATCATTCCCATTGCTCTCTTAACCATGACACTTCTATGATATCCTGTGGGCCCCAACCATCATGTGGGGAGAGCCGCTCATGGAAGGAAGGCATAGGGAGGGAGAGACTGGCACTTAGTGGTGGTGCACTTTGCAGACAGAAGGTCTTTGGTTCAAACCATCTGGCAGAGGAAGGAAAGACCTCCATTCATGAGCCCCACGTTTATTGGAAGACACCTTTCTGGGCTGGATTGACCCATGGTCTGATTTGGAGTCCGTTTCTCTTGCATTCCCAACTGGTGACCCTGAAGCTGGGCAAACAGCATGCCAGCTGTCAACACTGGCCTACCAGGTGTTTGAGCAGGCCGAGTTCGAATGATTCATCAGGCCAGGAGCCTAATCCCTCTTGTTCAACTCAGCCATGCATTTTCCATTGGTTGTAGCCAAGCTGCCGTCTAGATTGAAACATCTGCTTCTCCAATTTGCTCTGGGTCCTCTTTTGCGGGTAACAATTCCCAAGCAGTGGGTTGGCACAGCCTGTTCTTGATCTTACAGCAGGGAATGGGGGGGGGGGGGGGGGGGGGGGGTATTAGGCTTCTCTCTCTTTCTTTCTCTCTCTTTCATCTCCCAGGCCCAGTTTCCTGTCTCTGCTGTGATAAGATAGGAAGCCACTTACATAAAGAGGAGAGGAAGCTCTATCCCATCCCCCCCTCCTCATGCTATTGATGGAAGAGAAGGAGAACAAGGCTGTTTTTGGGGCAGGGGGTCTCAACATTGACATACCAGTTGGCATTCCTTTTGCCTCCTTGCAGGCTTTGCAGGGGGAGGGCCACTTACTTTTCCCATCCATTAGCATCCCAGCATCCTTAAATATGAAGCCCCTTAATTCAAGCAGCCTTTATTGTGGTGGCGAGGCTCCATACCAAGCCCTGCTTTAATATTCCTTAGCTCTGAACCATTTAGTAGACTTCTGAGTGATCGCTGCTGAGGGCTCAACTCCATAGGAGTTTTGGTGGTCCATTCTGCTAGATCACATGCTCTCCAATTATCCCAATTTGGCAGGAATAATTTTGTCCTCCCACTTTTTTGTCTACTTTTAAAATGTCCCAGTTTCTTGTGCTCTTCCCACCTTTTCACTCTTGTCCTTGGCTTACATCGGGGCCTTGGTTCAGTGCCCCAGTCTTGTCTGTTAACTAAAGCGGTGAGGATGCTTAGCAAGCCAATTCTGCTGTAAAGACCTCCCCCCTTTTCTGGCTTAAGTAGGAGGTGCTGCTTGAGATCTCCAAGCTGCCCTTCTTTGGATAGACTGATGGAATCCGTGGAACTTCTGAAAGTATTGACTTCTTACATTCCCCTTGATTCAATGGACCTATTCTCTCTGGATGCAACCATTGGGTTTAACGTGAGTGTATCTCTGCTTCCCTGTCTCTTCTGCCATTTCTCTCTGCTTTTGTCTGAATGCCCATTATGTCTATCTGATTTGGAAAGTTGCATCTTTGACCAAGTGCTGTATGCCTGACATCCAGCAATCTTACATCGTCAAGTATTTTCTCATTGCAGGCAAGGGCATGCCATTATGGTAATTTTCTCCCTGCTGTGGGAGAAAAAGTGGCATCCTATTAGTGAATTAGTGAATTACGGCAGAGTAAGTTGGATTTGCACCATCACAACTCTTGTTGATGCTTATTGCGGAGGTCAGGATTCTGGCCACAGGACAACTAAAGTCCCTTCTAGAAGCTCCCTCACCCCAAAAGGGCCGTTTCTCTGTTGTCTGAGAGTGAGGCAGATACCTACGGGGCCCTCTGAGCTCCCTCGATGACGTCCCTGCAATGTGTCCAACTACAAGAAAATATCTGGATGTGTCATCACTCATTGCCCTACTCTCTGACAACACAAAAACTGCCATCTCAGGTGGATTCTGCTGTTTATAAGGTGAGTTTGGTGCCAGGGAGTCAGAGGCATTATCCAAAGGCATATCTATGAGATATGTGCACATCTCTCCATGTGCTAAGGATCTTGGCTCCACATGTCCAAACATCTCCAAACAGTATAGAGGAATTATTCTACACATATTTCTCTGCAAAAAACATTTTTTTTCTGCACAAGAAGTGTGTGTCCTGCGCAGGAGTTCCATTTTATTACAAAAGCCACTTGTATACATGAATTCCTCTACAACACTTCAGGATGTTTAATTCCTTCTTTTTTTCAACCTGGAAACAAATAATTGGGAAGATCTTTTCCCTCCCGACTACAGCCGCCAGATGTCAGGCTACAGATTGGCAGAAAACCGATCTTAAATTCAGCCCTCCAAGGAGGCCCATTCCTATGGGAAATTCAAACCTAGAGCACAGCTGAACATTGCACTGCTCTCCAGATGTTTATATAATGTCATACAGTTCTAAATCTGGTGATTGTAATTGTTTTTGAAATTGTATAGCTGGGTTTTTATTGATTTTTCCTATGAGGCAGCTTGGGTCCCACTCTGTGAGGAAGGCAGCATACATATGACATAAATTGTTGGACTGCAACTCCCTTTCTTCCTTATCCTTGGCTCTGCTGGGAGTTGTAGTTCTACCATACCTGGAGGCCACAGAATGCCTGGTGCTGATTTAGAGGAAGGGTTCCCACTTGGCAAGGAGGGTCCTAAGGACCCTCAGAAGCTGATAAAGAGAGAAGAGATTCCTCAATAGAAAGACCACAAAGCAAAGTCATGCTGGTGCTGTCTTTGGCTTCAGGGCCGCTTTGGACATGTTTTACGTGCCAAGGTGATGATGGCTCACTGAAAGACACAAAACGCTCTTAGCAAGCAAATTTGGGGCGGAGGTCTGAAAGTCAGCCATCTAGTTATGTAAAACCACTTTTAATCGATTTGGGACTCACTTCGATTCAAGCAATCAATGTTCCTGTTTCCAAAGCTTTGGTCAAGGAGCCATTTTCATGTTTCCTTTTGGTATTTGCAACATTTGAAAAATTAACTAAAATTATCAGCCAGGGTTGGCCCCTATGGCTAGAAGGGAATGGCCTCCTTACGCTCTGAAATTCCCTTCCCCAGGAATGTTCCAGCACCTAAATGGCCTCAGAACCACAAATCAAGAAAAAGTTTCAACTGGATTGAATTCCTGGTGAAACCCATCCCACACTGACTTTGTCTTCTGGGAAGGGCGGGTGGGTCTCCTCTATCTGAATAGTGTTTACCATACGCTTGAACACATGTGCAGAAATGCCCTTCCCCGAAGAGTGAGTTTACCCAGGCATCACAAGACCTGGCCAGCATGATGTGGTGGGCTTGCCCTGCTGCCACCATGAGCTCCAGCCCTCTTAGTGTGCATAAGTAGATTGCTTTCCGCCTGACCGGCTGGTAATCAACAGTCTCAGCATCATCTGGGGAGGGGACAGAGAGGCCAGCAGCACCGGGGAGAAGGAGCTGGGGACCAAGGGGCAGGACGCTCCTGGCCTGAGAACGGAAAAAGTCACTTCTCCTGGGCCTGCCTTCTCTTGGGTCCTCCTTTCTTCTCTGAGGGAAGAAACAGGCTCCTCACTTGCGCACGGAGTGGTGGGAGGGACCGAAACTTTAATCTGATGTAGATTGTATCCATCCACTCTCCCACTCTGTCCTTCTCTTCCCCTGTGTCCCTCCCTCTGTGTTTCGCGCTCTTCCCTTGCCTGATCCATCTCTTCAAGAAAGTGAACTTTAAGTTCAAAAGAGAGAGGGAGAAAGGAAGGAAGGAAGGGAAGGAAGGAAGGAAGGAAGGAAGGAAGGAAGGAAGGAAGGAAGGAAGGAGGAAGGAAGGAAGGAAGAGGAGGAGAGCTTTTCCGAAGAGAGGGGTTCTGCTGGTGTCAGCCAGTGGAGCTTTGGATTTGACTAGTGCCTGCCTTTTTCGCTTTGCTCCTAAGGACTCCTTTTAATGGAATCAATTGCCCGGTTTCCTTTATAAACCTGTCTCCCGGGAAGACAGCTTCAACATAATATGGGCAACTGTGTGAAGTCTCCACTGAGAAACCTCACCAAAAAGGTAGGTCTTTCCAGCCAGGCTGGGGGTCGTTCTGCCTCCAGCACGGCCTCTTTGGGAACAGGTCACAGTGTTACAAAGAGCCAGGGGTTACTTGTGGGGTGGAAGGGGGGGAAGGGATCTGTTTTGGGCTTCCTGTGGATCTCCTTTTCCCCACGGTTGGGGGGCAGAGGCCGGTAGCCATCACTCCGGGGGGGGGGGGAGTGTTTGTGTGCATGAAGGCATGGTTCCTTGTGTGTGCAGTGGTATCCCAGTGTAAGTATGCGCAGTCCCAGGCAAGTGTTTTTGAAACATGGTGCACCAGCCTTTGTGGGGGTCCTCTCACTTGTGGAAAGGAGCAGAGGTATGCCTTGTGGGGCAAAATCATTCCTTTCAGCAAGGGTAATTCTTGAGATACTCATGGGTTGGGCCCCACATTGTTTCATGGATGTCCCTGGCAATCTGCTCACCGTTGGCAGAACTTACCAGAGGTGTTTGCTCGTGCTCTTTGTCCCATGAGTGTGTCTTTTTTGGAGATGATTCCCCCATTTTTTTTGTGAGGTTCGCAACCTCAGCTATCTCCAAGCGTGGATAAATTGGGTCCCTCCTTCCCTTGCTCCTCCCAGCATTTCTTGAAAGCTGGGGTACAGCCGCCCCTTCTGTTCCTTCGGTCCCACCTTCTCTTGAAATGTAGGTCAGCGCACATGGATGCCTTGGAGGTCTGGTGCCAGTCCTTATTTACCCTTGAAAAAATCCTTTCTGGACTTAAACAAGCTTGACATGAGCTGACTCTTACATTGTTTAGTGCTGCACCATTTCCCATTCATGCCCTTCGTCCCTGTCCCTTAGCTCAAGGAAGGTTGGTGGACTAATGGCGCAGCACCTTTTCGAAGGTGGTTCCCACTCTTTGAAATCACTCTGGGTAAGTGGGAGGACAGAAAACTTTCTATTTTGACCTTTTTCGATCTATAGGCCCACAATTAATATTAACCCAGCCACTATTACACTGCGGGTTTATAATTGGGCCCTTGGTTTTTAGTGGATGCTTTCGCCACCGATGAATTTCCATTAGACTTTAGCAGTATTTCTGGTCTTCATTGTTTCCCCGTTCTAAATCGATCTCCCTGCAATCTGATGACGCAAGTCTCTGCAATTACCTTTTGGCAGGAAATGCAAGAGTGAGGATTTTATAAACAAAAACAACAAAACCCACACAGCATCTCGGGATTATTCACTTGGAATGCTTGAGCAAAAGAGTCCTTGTGTGGGAAAGTTCATTTAGATGTTTTCCTCCGAAGCAGCATGCGCTGGGAACAAAAGTTCAGCACCTGCCGCAGGTGCAAGCCAAGCCCATGAAATGATTCATGTCCATCTGGTGATGCTTCTGAATCAGTGGCTTGAGCATGAATGGCAAGCATCTGTTCATTATGGAATGATCAGAGGAGATTGAAAACCCACGCGAGGGGTGATGAACCTACGACTAAGAGAGCATTGTGGTAAACACGCCCTCTTTGTCGACCTTTATGCCATAGGGAAGGATGGAGATTCATGTGCATTTGGGTAGAGGGAGGGTACACACATATGTATTGAACCAGGAATACATTGTGGTGCAATGGTATGCATGTGGAGAGAGGTACAGATTTGGACTTGCATACATGGCTGCGTGGAGGCATTCCCCTGTATGAACACGCACTCTCGGACAGACACATGCCTCTCCCTCATGTGTTTGAAGCCTGCCCACATCCCATGTTGGTCCGGGTCCATGTTTCAGGTTGTATGTGTAAATGTTTGATGTATGTGTTGGCAGTCAGCTGAAATGTCTGTGTCTGTTTGTTTGTGTGTGTGTGTGTTGATTTGTGTACGTCTCTCTCTGTCTTCAATGCTGAGCTGGTCCTGGAGTTGATGCTCCCCAAGAGCATCTTCACGAAAGCAATTGGGACAAAACGTGCCTTTGGGATGACGGGTGAGACGGAGCCTCTCGGGAGCAAGCCAGCATTAGCAGCCCAAAAGGACAGATTCCACTTCACCCCTTGCAAAAGGGAAAGATACTAATCACAGATGACAGAGCACTCCCTGCCTTGCGTCCTTGCGCAGGGTCCGTCGCCAGAGGTCCCATTGCTCTCTGCCTCAGCAAGAGACCAGAAGCGAGGATTCTTGCCTCTCGGCTGCTTTGACAAGATGCAAAGGGGCTTGGAAGCATGCGAATCTTTGTTAATTTCCATCTTGGAGGCAAGAAGCAATTGATTTAATTTTCTCCCTGCTGAGAGAAAGCTCTTCCGAACCACACAGTGTTCAAGAGACTACTTGTAGTTCAGGACTTATTCTGCTCAGTGGCATTTTCTGTGCAAAATACTGGTTTTTTTTAGGTAAGAAACTTGTGTCATGTGCAAAAAAAAATCACATTTTCTGCACAGAAAATAAAATTTCTGAACAGAAAATCCCACTTTTTTGCCACACAAAGTTAAGTCCTGAATTGTGAAGCTTCTTTGGAAGCAGAATTCTCTCTTCATTTGCACCTGTTCTCCACATAGTTGCAAAATTTATTTCCATCCTTGGTAAGTAGTCCTTCTTTAGTCAGCTACTAGTTCCATTATTATTATTATTATTATTATTATTATTATTCAGCTACTAGCTCCATTATTGCAATTCTCTCGAATCCATCAATTATAACCATACTGGCTGGAGAATGCTACAGTATGTACGCATTTTTAAAAATCCCCTAAATCTCCAGGGGTTAGGAGGAAAGGTGGCTTCCAATATAATTAAAGAGAAAGAGAAAACACGATAAATGCAAGCACTTATTAACATATAAATTATGTTAATCCATTGCGTAGTTGTTATGCAACAGACAAATTATGTTACATTAAAATGTCTGTCTTTTAATCTGGATTGAAATTGAAATTATGTGAATTTCAAGTTAACCACCTTCTCAGGGATGGTTGGTAAGAGAGTGGGACTGCACCCAGACTTTGGAACTCCTTCCCTGCGGAGGTTTAGGATGGCCTGCTTTTGGCAGGCAAAGGGCCTTTTTTATTTTATTTAGAAGGGAATAATTTCAAGGAAAGGGTTGCAGGGAATAGAACATCTCCTCTAGCAAAATGTGAGCTATCTTTAGTTTTCATTACCCAAAGAAGTACATATATGGTAACATATAGGTCTGAATTCTATTTGTAGTCCCAACTAGAATACCAGCCAAATGTTGGACGGCAAATCTACACATAGGTAGATCCCACACATTCAGAGTGTTTAGGAGTAAGAAAAGAGGGCAGAATCTTCCATGCAGTACTTAGGGCCCTTCCACACAGCCCTCTATCCCCAGAATATCAAGGCAGAAAATCCCACATTATCTGAGTGTGGACTCAGATAACCCAGTTCAAAGCAGATATTGTGGGATTTTCTGCCTTGATATTCTGGGATATAGGTCTTTTTGGCAGGGCCTTTAATTCCATGCCTATCTTAGTTGTGGAACTATGGGTGCATCTACACTGTAGAATTAAGTCAGTTTGATACCACTGTAATTTCCATGGTGAGGGACCAGCACTCTTTGGCAGAGAAAGCTAAGGACCTTATAGAACTACAGCTAGCATGATGCGATGCCATTGAGTCATAGCAGCTTTCTTTTCGAGTCAGGAGCGACTTTAGAAACTGTAAGTTGCTTCTGGTGTGAGAGAATTAGCCGTCTGCAAGGATGTTGCCCAGGGGACGCCCGGATGTTTTGATGTTTTACCATCTTTGTGGGAGGCTTCTCTCATGTCCCCGCATGGGGAGCTGGAGCTGACAGAGTAGTTAGTCATCTAAACTGTTTTAATTTTACAGTGTAACACCAATTTACACCAACAGGATTCTGTCCTGTCTTGCAATGTTGCAGAACTTTGTCACATAAGTTTGAAAGTTGGCAATGTGATCATTCTCCTCTTGAGACAAGTTTGAAAGAGAAAGTGTGTTCTTTATCTGCTGTTTATGATTCAGTAAACTGTGTACTGCTTCAGAAAACCCTTTTGTGGTGGGCCCTAAGTGACAGAGGAACGTATGGAAACATTGTGTTATGTTGACCTTCTCTGGAGCCGTCCTCTCCTCCTTTTTCCAGTCTTTGTGCCCCCACTTTGTATGGATAGAAGTCCTTCCCATCCACATTGTCCTGGCCAATGTGGACGCCCCCCTCCCGCACTGTATCCTGCTCCTCTCTTTGGCATGTGCCTTTGTTGTCATTGATGGTGATTCTGGCCTTGATGCTATTCATTTGCCCATTACCCCGATAGCATCTGACCCGAGCAGATGGGAATCTGGGGCTGTGCTTGTGCTATGCCGAAAGCTACCATCAAGCGGGATGTGTGTTGTTCAACAAACACACTCTTGCCAATGAACACAGCCGCGCATGCAGAATCTGTGAGCATCTGTGTCCCTGTCCTCAGCTCTGCCGGAAGGCGCTTGCAAATGCACTGCTGCCCCCACTCAAAGGAAATGGCTGAGAGAAAATACTTTCAGTCTCTCATGAAAATAATGACGGGCTTGTTCGTGTTTACTCCATAAAATCCAAAGGTCCCTGTGAACGCTGTCGGGTTTTTTATAGCCGCATGGGAATGTCAGGATGAAAACCGGCTCTGCCAGAGCCCAGGCAGCCTATGGCTATATATGGCCAGCTGTGGGCTCTCCAGACGGGCCTGAGACTCCCAATCCAGGACTGTTCTTTGGATCCCCCTTCCCTGTGCTTGGAGGGACCTGATGCAGAAGCCACATCCTGTAGAATGAGGTCAGGGAATGGAAGAGAAAACAAATGGGGTTACAGAGGGCTGATCAAGGCTCGTGGTGCTTAGCTTATTGTACTATGTAATATTTAATGTTTTGCTTGGACCAAAAAATATGTATAGAGAGAGATTTGCAAGGCCTGTTCTATGGACGCTAGGAAGCACCCATTTCCAAAACGTCTGCGGCCCTTGCTGTCCTCTGTTCTGCCATTACAATGGTGGGCAGTATTAGAGTTCATGCAGTGATCTTGTGTTAAGGAGGGAACACACCAATGACTTGGAAAAAGAAACAAAGCTTTACTGTAGGAACTTCATTCTAAAATAAGACTCATGGGAAGAAGAAGAGATGGGGAAACATACCCAAGAGTATTAATTTACATCGCAAAGGGTAGGCAAACATAGAGGGAGGATGCTCTAGGTCACTGAGACTATCTAACCCTATGACTACTACCCACTGAATCACTTTTCACTCTTTGTGCTAAATGCTGTTGCATTGCCAACAGGCAAGGGGCACTCTTCCAGATGTCACTGGACAGCAACACCCAGCATTTCTCCTCACTGTCTGTTCTGGCTCTGGGACTGTAGCTTTGTGTCTGGTGAGTCAGGGGAAAGAAGGACAAATCACATGCCAATGGAAGGATAGCAAAGAAGGGGGCATCCTTGCCTATGAGCAACCACCAAGAAGGCCTTCCCCATCCCTATTGGGGCTCATGGGATATGCTATCCCACACCATCTGGAGGGTTGCACTTTACAGCCTGAATGGTGAGGACAGAGGAAAGTGAACAAAACCTTGAGTCTTGACAGATGTTGAATTTGGTGCCCATTTTCAACATTGTGCCTGTCCCATTGTCTTTGGCACTGGGAAGTTGATGGACCTAAACCTTAATCCAGTGTTCAAAACTGCATCTCCTGTATGCCTGGGAGTGGGGACAGGCTCATGACAAGAGGGCTCACTAGTGCCTCTGTCGGCATTGAGTGTGCAGAGAGAAGGAGAAAAAAAGCAATTTCAGGGGAGCGGGAGAGAGCGCTGAGCGGACTGGCAGACTGCCATTCTGTGTCTTTTACGAGATCTTGCTAGGAAGACATGAACCGGCAACATCCCTATAACTCTGTCTTGGAGCTGGACCCCAGAAGCTGGGCCTGCTTGGTTTCACAGCTTTCTCTTGAGTCATAGGAACCTGGAGAACATTTCTTTTTGACATGGCAAATGGAAAATAATTGGGAGCAAATTGATGGTGGCACCGGGCACAGTTGACCCTCTTGAGCAGGCATGGGCAAACTTTGGCCTTCCAGGTGTTTTGGACTTCAATTCCCACAATTCCTGGCATCAGACCCTTTCCTCCCCCCCCCCCCCCCCCCGCGGCTTAAGGGGGAAAGGAAAGGGCCGGAAGACAGGAATTGCAGGAGCTGAAGTCCAAAATACCTGGAAGGCTGAAGTTTGCCCATGCCTGCCCTTGAGGATGCCTGGCCTGCAACTTATAGTAGGGAAATCCCCAAAACATGGTCCCAAAAGGCTGCACATAGTAAGCATATCAACACATGTGAACGGCATTTCCGTTATTCACATTCAGTGGCTTGTTGCCCAGTTCATGTTCACCAAGAGCTCAATGAGAGGCTTCTCTCACCAGCCTCCTTCCCACACAGTGCTTTCTGTTTATGCCCAACAACCAAGGCATGCATCTCTTTCTTCAAAATTTGAGGGGCTGGCAGTGGGAATTATCAGAGAAACCTTCTCTTTGGTCCTGGCCCTGGAGTCTCTAGCTGGAGGGATGTGTGTTGTGCTAAGAGGGTTTTTGATGTCCTTTCAAAGGGGAAATCTCAGGGGAAGGGTCAGCTTTCATCCCCAGTTGAAGGTGAACTGCAGTATCAGCTGTTTTGAGCTGTACCAAACTCAAGGGCTGGGGGTTGTTGTGAGACATGGAAGGGATTTGAGGCTTGTCAAGGGTGAAGACAGATGTAACAAGTTGAGTGTGGCAGAAAGGGTTTGAGCATGTCTTTGGGGTCTTAAAAACGCATGCATGTTCACAGTGGTAGAAGTTGGCTTCCATGTTAGTGATGCAGTGCATCAACTTTTGGAATTATTGTAGAATTTCAAGGAGTTCTCCAGGGTGTCATGCTAATTTTTTCAGCACCCTGGAGAGCTCCTTTAAAGTCTAGAATAAAACCAGACTCCAAAGGAAAAAGGTTCTACCACACCCTTGTCTTTCCAGCACCCTCCTAAAGTTATCAACAGATTTCTCCCAAATCCTTGAAGCGCCTTGTCTGAGTGTGTTATGGGCTCAAGATTGATAAAACGAAAGATGGGCATCTGAATAGGCATGTACCCCTTTTTAAACTAACAACAATACTTTTCAGAAAAGCAAATATGGATGTGTGTGAGACATGTCTTGAAGCCAGGCTGTGGGCCAAGTGTACGGTGCTGACCTCTGTCTTCCCCTGTAGTCGCTCTCGCTTGTGCTGAACTTCCTCTGTTGTGTCATTTGCTTGCTGCTGATTGGGCTGAGAAGATCCACCATGAGGAGAAGACAAGTTATAAGGCCGTCCAGATGAGCGAGGAGGGGCCTTCAGCCGGCGAGTACCAGGGCCCGCTCATGGTGCTGGCCCAGAACTGCGCCGTGATGCACAACCTGCTGGGGCCAGCTTGTATCTTCCTCCGGAAGGGCTTCGCAGAAAACAGGCAGCCAGTACGTAAGTTGCACCCTGATGGGCAAGACTCAGCGCAAAAGCCCAAGGGTGTGGAAAACTGCGCCGGATGGGTAATGATGATGATAGTAATCACAACCACAATAGCAAAAGCAATATGTGTGTATATCATTGCTGGTCTAGGGTTCTTCTCCCTGTCCAGCCCAGGTCAGGATTGTACCCCATATTCAGCCATATGCACATCCTAGCATTCCTATAGATGTATTTGGCCAGAGGACGGTAATGGAATGGAAGGCGCCTATGAGTACATTTTGTAAGCCATCTTATTGGGAGAGAAATGAAATATGCAAGTAAATAATTCCAGTTAATAATTGCAGGCAACTTCTGGCAGGTGGATGTCAGGCACTGAGAAGTGGGGCAGGTATTCCAGTACCTCCCTGACAACCTATGGTCTTTTTTAATGTATTCCATTTTGATTCTACTTTTGTCCTTAGATGGGCTCTAAGGTGGATCACAAGCATTCTTTTAAAAACAGGATACAGTTTAAAACATTCCTCATACAAATGTTAAGAAACACTTAAATGATGGTTCGGTTTAAAGGAATATACAATTAAAAGATAGTGAAAGATAAAAACGCCACCCCGTTAAAAGCTCTTTTTGCTACATATGCCAAAGGCCTGCTTGAACAAAACTGTATTTGCCTGTTGATGAAAGGAAAGTAGAGAGAAGGCAAGCTGAACTTTGCATGGAGAGAATTCCATAACCTCTGAGCAGCTGTCAAGAAGGCTATCTCCGGTGTCCTTGCCGAATGTACCTGTGATGGTGGTGGCACTGAGGCAAAGCTTCCCTGGAGATCTTAAAACTCCAATTATCTCAGCATAGTGCCCCACTAGTGGTGCTGGTGTCCTGCAGTGGCAGGATTCTAGCCTCTCTTTCAGACTCTGCTGGGGAGACAGTTCAGCTGCATGGTGCTCTGGCCCTGTCATTGAGGAGACTCCCTAGGCTGACACTTAATGCTCCTAAAAACCTTGGGAATTCTTGTTGAGAGCCCAGAAATTTGCTGTGGTGGATCTGGCTTCTGTCGGTGAGCCCAAATGCTGCAGCAGCTCTTCTCCCCTCCCAAGTGAAAGTTTGAAAGCAACAGAATAAAATGGGAGAAGGCGCTTGGGAATTGCGAGGGTGGGACTGCTGAGTGCTAACTGCCTGGCTCTCTGGATGGATGTGGAGTCCAGCCCAGTGATGCCTCTGGGAAGGTTAGTTCAGCTCTGCTCTGGCCCATCCCTCCAGCAGAGATGTGACCCAGTGGGACTGGCCTCATTGGGAAACGCACTTCCCGAGCGGCCACAGCCATTTTGCAGTCCAGCAGCCCGTTGCAAATTAGTTTCAGAAGCATGAGCCCCTGCGAATGGCGGACTGCCCTTTTGAAGAACCCACCGAGGGTCGAGAGCGGCATTCCAAGGTGAGAAGCTAGGGCCGAGAGGCCATGAAGTGTTGGACTCCCTTCTCTGAGATTGCTGGGAGAGGGGACAGTGATGTAGGAAGCAATGACCCATAAGCAAGAAGCAGCGCATTTCCATCTGGGGCTTTCCTTCCTCTTACTCTGCAGAGTTTTCTTCTGGTTCTTCCTTCTCCCTTCCTCCTTTTTCATATCCCCTTGAAAACAAAACTCAGCTTTGAGTACTTGCAAAACATCCAAACTAGGTGGGATTTGAAAGTTTCTTCTCCTGGCCTGGGGATGCCCCAGCTATTCTTCCACCTTTGCCTTCCAGAAAAGGGACTGGGAGCAGGCAGTGACTTCTATCCTCCTCCATCTTCTCAGCAACCTGAATTTTGGAGCAGCATAAAAGATGGCTCATCCTGAGGCGACAGCCAAAGAAACAAAAACTGGGGAGTAACCAATGAAATCTACCAAAGAACCAGATACACGTTTCAAGATGTTCAAAACATGGTTCATGTATTAGTAGAAAATCCCTCCTCTACTTAAATAAGACGCTATGGCTGGTGTCCTGTTAGCAACATGTATAGGAATATGTTGTGCTGAACATGTGGAGTGTTTTCTGTTTTGGATAATGTACAGTTGTCTTATCCGGCTGACAGAGTTACAGCTGTGGAATCATTGCACATTGCATATAGTGTGTTAAAGTACCAGTTGGCATGCATTGTTTTTGTATATGGCACATTGTAATTGGCCAACAGGTTTTCAGCTGTGCGCTTTGACTCTTGATCCACATACGTTGCACTGTGGAAGATACAGAATGCAGCTCCACTGGGGGATGTGTACACTATACTGAAATGTTGAAAGATCATGGCCTATTTTTGAGCATCTCGAGACATGTCTTGTGTTTCTTCTGTGCCATCCTGAGGAAAGCATTGTGACAGGAAGGGTGCCAGCTGCTCTAAGCTGAGCTCAACATCGCCAGCCCTCTCCACTGGAAATACAGAGATGATCAGTTCCTTCTGATTCCATTGTCTCCTTAGGACTATTTTGACAGCCCCCAACACCCCAGATTCCTGGACTGCCCCTTTTCTGCCTCACCCACTTCTGCAATTTACCCTGCATAGATAGCAGGAACTCCTGATCCCTTTTAATATTTTTAAATAAAGACATTTTGGAAGAAAAAGGCCACTGTAGATTCTCACTTAACATTCCCTGTTCCTGTGGTTCTGCAAATACTCACAGCATGCTCTCCCTCTCATACTGTTTCCCTGTGAAGGAACTGGCTTGAACAATGGTTCTTCTTTCTTTTCTTTCTTTGCAGGACAGGGAACTGCGTCCAGAAGAAATAGAAGGTAAGGCATTCCCTCCTATTGTGTACAGGACATTATTTCAAGGTGTGTGTGTGTGGGGGGGGGGGGGGGGGGAGGGGGTGTTACATTCATGCAAAGAGGGCAAATGGGAAAACTGGGACACAGTGGAACCAAGCAGGACTAGAATGTGAGAAAGATGGCAAAAGTTATCTGTGAGAAAGAAGATGGAGAAACTGGGACATTTTAAATATATCTGAAAAAGTGTGGTGACAAAGGCAAATTACCTAGAAGGGTTGTGGAGGGCACCTCCTTTCTGGCAATGTTCACTGTGGAGCAGTCAAGAATATGACTGGAAGTCTGACCTTCTCTTGGATTGGCCCTGCAGAGCTGCGAGAAGCCTTCAAGGAGTTTGACAAGGACAGAGATGGCTACATCAACTGCCGGGATCTGGGCAATTGCATGCGCACCATGGGCTACATGCCAACTGAAATGGAGCTGATTGAGCTGTCCCAGCAGATCAACATGAACTGTGAGTACCACTTGCCACCCACACTGACCTGGCCCTCTTGCCCTTGGCCCCTGCCAGGCTTGGGACATCTTCCTTCCCTCCTTGTCCTGTTCTGTTTGCACAAGGACAGGCTTCTCAGGCCAGCTTCACAACAGGCATGCTTTCCCCAACACTTTCATCCTGCAGCCTTCCAGACATTGGGCTGCTGTGACTTTTCCAGGCTGTGTGGCCATGTTCCAGAAGCATTCTTTTCCAGAGTTTGTTGAACTGCATCTTCCAGCATTCCTCTCTATTGGTTACACAGGATGCTGGAAGCTACATTTCAACATCTTAATGGTCCACAGAATTCCCACACTTGGTTTAATGATCGCAGCTTCTCCTGCAACCCTTTTCTTTTCCCCTTGCTGTTGCAATAAGTTTTATTTCATAATTTCAGTTCAATGGGAGAAACAAAAAAGAGAGCTTTTTTATCCTGGACCTCCCAGAGAGCTGGTTGTATGGCTAGGTTCAGGTGAGTAACCAAAAGACCAGTGACTAGTGGTCATTTGCCTTAGAGAAGCCTGGAATGAAATCCTGAGACATGTGGGTAGATGTTTTAGATGAGCTCAATAAAGAGGTGTCTTGGTTCTGATGTTTGGAAGACAAGGCTGGAGAAAAGGATGGATGGGGACTCTGTTTCCAGGCCCTGGTGGGCACATACATTCCACTCAGCTCTGGCTTTCTCAGCTTGCTTTTTCCAGAGTGTCCACATCAGGTGGCCAGCTGCCATGTGAGGCTGAGCTGCCAGCCCTTACTGCCTAATGCCCATTTCTCCCACTTTCTTTCTAGTGGGTGGCCACGTCGATTTTGATGACTTTGTGGAGCTGATGGGGCCAAAACTCTTGGCAGAGACAGCCGACATGATTGGGGTCAAAGAGCTCCGCGATGCCTTCCGGGAGGTGAGAACCAGACTGGGTGACCTCGTTCAATGGGTTCATTTGTCTCAGAGATCCCCAGGCCTTCCCAGCTTCCCAACTGGATGCCCTCAGGATGTGTTAGACTCAACATAATTCCTACCCAACATGCCCAATGGGTGTCTTGCCTGAGATGAAGAAATAGTAGTACTGGGTTTCTGAAGGGAAGCAGGTTAGGGAAGGCTGGATTAGATATGCTACTGGGTCTATAAAGGGCTTGTTGGCATGAGTTTGGAATGGGATGTCCATATTCCCTGGGAGTGTATGACCAAAACAGAGAATACAACAGAGAATACAACCAAGTGCAGTTTAAGGAACCTGATGATGAAACAGTTCAACATAATTAAATAAGCTATAGGAAGCTGCAGGCATTCAGAGACTCTGGACCTAAGCTGTGGTCTTCATGGGCTGTATTTGGTTTTTCATTATTGATATGTCATCTGCCATGTTGCTCTTTTCAGGTGTTGTACCATAATACAAATACACGAGACCACCAGTACACAACAAAGGGCTATTTAAAAAAATGAATCTACAACCATAAGCCCACTTGTAGGGTCCCTGTTGTTGGCCACTGTGCAAACAGAATGCTGGACCCGACAGGCCTTCCATCTGAGCCAAGATGGCTCTTCCTTACATTCTTCTATTCAGGCACAGACAATCCTAGAACTTTGTGTAAAAGAATGGTCTTGTTAATGATCCATCACCATTATTTTGCTCTGGGAACTTCCAATAAAAAATAGGTTGTCTGCTATAGAAGCAGGATGCTGGACTAGATAGATCAACCTGGTTCTTCTTTTGTTCTCAAAGGTCTTGTCCATTTTAATTGTCCATCATTTGCATACTGTTGTGTTCTTGCAGTTTGACACCAATGGCGATGGAGAAATCAGCACCAACGAACTACGAGAAGCAATGAAGAAGCTGCTTGGGCAGCAAGTGGGACACCGGGACATTGAGGACATAATACGAGACGTAGACCTGAACGGAGATGGTCGGGTGGATTTTGAAGGTGAGGCGGGGAGAAGGTCAGTCCTCTGGGACAAAGACATACGTGAGCAAGAGCCTTGGGTGGGGTTTCACATTCACTAGAAATTATAGCGAAGGTTCGGAACCTAGTCCTAGAAATACAGCAACCTTTTTTCCTGGCTAGATTCCTTCCAAGGGCCTGGACTTGGGCCATATCAGGGTTGATTGCATTCCGTGTGTTTTTGGTCTCACCTCCAGAGTTTGTCAGGATGATGTCCCGCTGAAAGAAGGGCTTGGGCTGAAATGCACTCAGCCCTTATGGGTGGTAGAAGAGGGCCTGAAACGGAGTGTCTCGCCCCGATGTTCCTATGCAACGGCTCGGCGCCCTGGCTGCGCTGGAGACAGGGTCCCGACGCCGACCTGCCTGTCTGACCCAAGTGGCCCTGCTGCTCCTTCACCTCTCCACACTGTGAAAGACTTGCCTCTCTGGAAACTGGAAGGGCTCCTGGGAAAAGTCCAGCACGAGGACGCTGCGCTCCAGGACCAGCCGCAAAGTGTTTGCAACCGAAGCTGCCGCCGTCGCCTCTTCTCCTTCCTCCCCAGCTTTTACTGTTCCAGCAAATGAAAGGAAAGCAAGGGGGGGGGGGGGTGTTCTCTTGAACTTGGTGGCTTTCTGCAAAGCCGCCTAGATTGGTGCCTGCCATGGACTGTCCCCTGGCCCCATGTTCCTTAGTGAACTGTTGGCTGCTGCTCCCCTGCCTTGTGTTTCCAGATCTGTAAAGAGTTATTCATGCCTCCCCTCTCCCCTGGAATGTTGTTTTGCCTACCTGTGGTTATGTTCTTAAGAGCAAATATACATTTGAAAAGAAAAAAAAAACCCAGAGGAAATCCTGAGCACTGAAATCTGTTCTCAGCTTTGAATTATATGGTGACAACAATCCATGAAAAAGAGATCTTGGAGTCTTACTAGACCATAAACTGAATATGAGTCAACAGTGTGATGTGGCAGCTAAAAAGTCCAATGTGATTCTAGGCCGCATCAAAAGGAATATAGTGTCTAGATAATAGAATAGTACCACTCTATTCTGCTCCAGATCTGACCTCACTCAGAACAACACTGTGTCCAGTTCTGGGCACCACAATTCAGGAAGGATATGGACAAGCTGCAAGGTGTTTCAAGGAAGGCGAATAAAATGGTCTGAAAATCATGAATGCCTCTGAGGAGCAGCTCCTCAAGGTCCGTATGTTTAGCTTGGAGAAGAGAAGGTTCAGAGGGGATATGAGAACCGTTATGTTTTCTTCCAACTCTTAGATTATGCGGTAATTGCCAGGAAACAACACTATCTAGCAAGGCCTACAAAATAGAAACAAACCTTTTCTATGCCCCTGAGCTATTGTTTGGTCTGGATGCTAACAGGGACTCTAGAACCTATCTTCCTGGTAGCAGAAGCTTTGCTTGCTGCAGTCGGTTCCCTATTTGTCCTGTTGGATGAGGCTCTCCTGCACTGTTCTCTGTTCTAAGATCTTACTCCTCTCCCCTGAAAGTACAACCCTGCCGACTCTGCTCAGCAAATCTTGACCAAAGCCACCAGCACAGCATAGGGCACTGGCAGGGCTGGGAAGACTCTGGGAGGGGAGAGCTGTATACACACACAAACTCCACAGACCGACTTTCTCCTTACGATGCAATCCCAGAAAGCCAAATTAAATGGAGAGAGGCTGTTTTATCATGCAGGCAGCTTCGGGGATTAGAACGGGAATCTAATAATCTCATTGCAGGGATAATTCCTCTGCTTACATCTCCCAGCCAGGACTGGGAAGGCATCCAAGGCATCCTGCAGACAGAAAGAGGAGCGGAAGGGGCATCTTTGTGGAGCAGCCTCCAGGCACCGCCCCACCAGCCTCACAGTCTGGCCTGGCCCACGGGTGATGGGCTTTGCCCCCCAGCTCCAGCCAAGTGTCACATCCAGCTACTTCACTGGGCAGCGATAGTGAAGATCTTTGCAAAGAACTACATGTAGTTGTGACTGGTGTCTCACATATCAGTATTTGAACCTGCACCAGGTTTTCCTCCAAACATTAGAACAGCTGTCCACCTGAGAGTGTTCCTTTACAGTTTGGACTACGCCCAGGAGCGGATTCAACACTCTACCACCATATAAGCAGGGCGTTTTGACATGTACTTAGTTACATCTAAGGGCCAGTGAGCACAAAAGCCACATTTGAAAGGTGCCATAACAACTGAGAGTGACGTTACTTGATTGGGGAAACAACTATTCACTTTCCAAAGTGACTCTTGGCAACACTGGATTGAAATCCCATGGGTTTTATGCCTTTCTCTTCCGAGCCCTGAGGCATTCTTTGCTCTGAGAAAAGTTGCTCAATAGCAGTGGCCAAGACTCTGCATCACATTCCATGTTTCATACTGCAGAAGGAACGCCACTTTTGCACCCTTGTACTGAATCTTGACATTCTGCATCAGACCAAAATGTCCAATTATTTCTGCAAGGGAACTTGTGCATGTGGAAAACAGTGCAAAGTCCTGGTCGTTGTGTCCACATTTGGCCCTCTTTAGAGGTCAGAGCAAGATCTTTCTTCAGGGCAAAGTTGAGATTTCTCTTTCTCAGCTAATAACCTGCTCCCCTGACCTGTGACTTGGGTTTGCCTTTAAGTGCTTCAAAGCCACGCCACTGACCTAGGCTAGTCACAGCGTAAGCTGAGAGATCACTGGGGATTAATGGGGATTGGCGGTAATCAGTACAAATGAGCCTTAACAAGGCCTCCCTCTGGTCTGCCAACTCCACGGGGGGCAGCTCTGTCCATTGTCTTGGTTCGAGACCGGGCTGGAATTTACACCACGAAATCAAAGTCAAGGTGTTGGGACCATCATAGACAAGAGGAAGCAGGTGGTGAGTTTGTTAGAGCTTTTAATCTAAACTTTGAACATAAACACACACCTGCATCCCAATTGCCATCACATTCCTAAGCCAAGTTACATTGGAATCTGTATTTTATAACTTTGTACGTCTGGAACTATATTGCAGAAGTGCAGCAAAACTCTTAGCAAATGGTGAGAATGGGCCTCCAGGCATCAGCAAAAGTGTTCAGACGTGCATCAGGTGCTTCCCATGCACACCAGGCATGCCCAATGAGACTCAGGCACACGCGATGCCCTCAGACACTTTGAAAATTGTGATGCACATTGGACACTTCTGTTGTATGCTGGGCATTTTGAATGCACATCGAATCTTCCTGTTGTGCTTTGGCACTTCTTGGGTAGTGTCTTGATAGTTCTAAGGAACTATCAACTTGTGCATCAGGTGTCCCTTGCGCATCAGGAAATGTTGCATCAGTCTCTTCATGGGCTACCGTTGCATCATGGATATCTCTATGCAACAGCATCACGGTAGCCCCTCGGTGAATATGGACGTTGTAAAACTTCTCAATTCTATTTCCTACCGACAAAGACAATGAGTCTGTGTTGAGGTCCAGCCACATTTTATTTACTGTAAGTCATTTATTCCTTGATTTTCAATCTATGGGGGCTCACAAGGCAAATCGTAATGGGGTGTGCACAGAGAGGGGTACATGTACACTGTAGAATGAATACAGTTGGACACCACCTGAACTGCTATGGGAACTCTATGCTATGGGATCCTGGGAGTTGTAGTTTTGCAAGGCTTTCTCTGCCAAAGAATTCTGGGGCCTCACCAAACTACAAATCCCATGGTTCCATAGCATTGAGATTTGGCAGTTCATAGAATCATAGAATCCTAGCATTGGAAGACGGCCCCAAGGCCCATCCAGTTCAGCCTCCTGCTATGCAGGAAAACATTAAGCCTTCTCTACAGATAGCCATCCAGCCTCTGATTAAATACCCCAAAGGTGCCCGATCCCCACAGAAATCAGAAGTTAAGCAAGACTGGTCTTGCTTAGGACTTGGATAGGAGACTGCCACAGTGCTGTGGTCTGTATTTCAGAGGAAAGCGCTGGCAAGACCATTTCTGAGCTTCCTTGCCTAAGAAAACCTTAAAAGGGCTGTGTTGTGGTTTTCAGGCTGTCTGGCCAATGTGTTCTAGTAGCATTTTCTCCTGACATTTCATGTGCATCTGTGGCTGGGTCTTCAGAGGATCTTCTGAAGATGCCAGCCACAGATGCAGGTGAAACATCAGGAGAAAATGCTGCTAGAACACATTGGTCAGAAGCCTGGAAACTACACAACATCCCAGTGATTCCAGCCATAAAAGCTCTCGACAATACATAAAACCTTAAGAGATGTCAACAGAAGACTTGAAGGCACAGACACAGTCAGGGATGTTGCAGTGGAAAAGATGAAAGCACACAAATGAGCAGAATTTGCAACTGCGCAGCTCCCCCTACCGGGCCCCACTCTCCCTCGCTGCGGCTGTTCAAATGCACTGGATGCAAAAGGCACATCCAGGACTCCTTCCATCCCGGATCCCTCCAACCCACTCCATTCGCACGGCCCCATTAGAGCTTCACCATAGAAGAGAATGGCCCTTTTGGGAAGCTATGGTTCCTGCTGTCGAAGTGACTCAGCTTTTTGCCTACTGCATTTGAAATCTGCAAAGGGGGGGGGGGGGGGACAACCAGCATCTGAATAATTGATACTGACAGGAAAGCGAGGAACTCAAGATCAAAAGTCGGATGGGGCTAGAAAAATGTGCAAATAGCACAGGCTCAGTTTCGTGTGCTGGTGCTCTGGTTCTCGGAAGCTGCTTGCCTATGACGGAGACCTGGATCCAACTGGAAGAACATATTGCATGAAAATGACATCAGTAGCTATACATTAGCTCTTTGCAGACTCCCTGTCATCTGAAATAGAAGGGGAATCTCCATAGAGGACACATCTCTCCTCATTTCCCACTCCTCCAGAGATGGCAGAAGGAAACGTGGAGGACAAATAACTCATTTTTTGTTAAGTGGGAGAAAAGTCAATCTTTTTTACAGTGGCAACCCTCTAGCAAACCTCCCCCAGGTTTTCACTGGCAAGATTTGTCCAGAGGGTGCTTGCTCTTGACTTCCTCTGAGGTTGAGAGAGAGTGACCGAAATTTGCCCAATGTGTTTCCATGGCTGAGTGGGATTTAAATCCTGTTCTCCAGAGTTGTCATCTAACGCTTGAACCATGCTGGTTCCTGACACCAAAAATGACCGTCTCTTGAAATTTCTTGCAGGTTTCAGCTGAAGTCTTCTTTTCAATAAGTTATAAGCACAAAAAAACCCTTTTTCATAAGCCCAGCTTGTATTACTGATTCAGGACACCTACACGGCAAAAGCTCTTTACTGAATTTATTGATTAACTAGCTGTCCCCTGCCAAGCGTTGCTGTGGCCCAATCTGTGTATATGTGTTTTGTGTGTGTATATATGTGTTTTGTGTGTGTATATATGTGTATATGTGTGTGTGCATGTGTTTATGCATAAATACACATGTGGTTATGCTGAAGCCCACAGTGGGTTAAACTGTGAAACTTGGTAACGGAAAGGTTGGAGGTTTGAATCCAGGGAGCAGCATGAGCTCCTGCTGTTAGCCCCAGCTTCTGCCAACCTAGGAATTTGAAAACCTGAAAATGTGAGTAGATCAATAGGTACCTCTCTGGCGGGAAGGTAAGGGTGCTCCATGCAGTCATGCAGGCCTCATGACTTTGGAGGTGTCTATGGACAACGCCGGCTCTTGGGCTTAGAAATGGAGATGAGCACCAACACACACACCCCCCAAATCGGACACAACTGGACTTAATGTCAGGGGAACAATGTGGTTATGTGCGTGCATTGTAGTGGGTTTGTTTTTTGGGTTTGTAAGTCTCGTCTGCTGTGTTTTTCAGTGTTTTTATGAGTGATGGTCACTCAATGGCCTGATAGATGTATTGTCCCTTCCTTCCTTCCTTCCTTCCATTTCAGTCTTCCCTTTCTGCTTTCCTTCCTTCCTTTTTTCTTTCCCTTTATTTGTTCTGTCTTTCCTTCCCTCCTTCCTTTTTTCCTTTTGTTTCTTTCTCCCCTTCCTTCCTTCCTTCCTGTCTCTTCCCTTCCTTTCCCTTCCTCTTCCTTCCTTCCTTCCTTCCTTCCTTCCTTCCTTCCTTCCTTCCTTCCGTTTCTGCCTCCCCCTTCCCAACCGTGATGTTGCTCTCGACTCAGATGCTGGACCCACAATCGGTATGACAGTGGGGCAGACCCCTGTGTGGAAGCAGCGGCAGTAGCAAACCCCTGCCCCCCGGGATGATGGGGGTCTCTGCGCCTCCTTCTCCGCCTTATCCCGCCGCCCCCCCCCCCCGGCGCCCTCCCAGGGATTATGCAACGAGGAGGAGAGAGGATGCTCCAGCTTCCCATTGCCTTCCCATTAGGAACATTATTTTATGGCAGTATGGGAGCGGGGTAACGGCGCTCCATGAATTCATGTCGGCCACATGACCTTGGAGGTGTCTACGGACAACGCTGGCTCTTCGGCTTAGAAATTGAGATGAGCACCACACCCCAGAGTCAGACATGACTGGACTTAATGTCAGGGGACTACCTTTACCTTTATGGGAGCGGGGAAAGCAAGTGGCCAGAGCAAAGAGGACTGTTTAGCCGAGGTGAGAGAGAGAGAGACAGACGATGGAGGTGGTCTCCTGCGTGCGTGCACCCTCCCCACCCCTGTGCGCATGCTCCGTGTTGTCCTCTCCTTTTTTTAGATTTTGTGAGTTTGTTTTGGTGGTTTATTTTAATTTTTATGATTGTTGGTCATACCTTGGGGTATGAGGCATTTCAAGGCCAAATTTGGTGATATTTGGTCCTGTAGTTTTTCCGTTTTTAAACCACTCACGACGACGTCCACCTTTTTATATATATAAAAAGAAAAGATGGCGTCTTCAAATCGGCTCAGATCTCTCCTGATGACCCCAATACAAGGCAGAGAAGGTGAAAGAGTTCAAGTGGCATCAAACTGGATCAACCCTACAGTATAGATGCAGCCCAAGTCTTTATGATTCACAGCGGTTTTATCCTAGGGTTTTTGTGGCAAGATTTTACGTATATTTTGGGGATATCTACAGTGTAAAGCAAATCACATTCATACACTTAGACATATGTTTGCCAGTTATGAACAAGCAGTTATGACATAATGGACAATGAAGCACTGAATGAATCAATTGAGGTCGAAGTCAAGCATTTGAATCCTTGTTTGGCCATGATGCCCATTGGGAAGGTCACACTCTCCAGCCCCAGAAGATAAAAGACCTTGCCAAACAAACCTTGTGTGAGACCCTTAGGTTTGACCCCACTTGACCTGCCCTGGCTCTGTCATAGAATTATAGAGTAACAGAATCATAGAGTTGGAAGAGACCTCATGGGCCATCCAGTCCAACCCCCTGCCAAGAAGCAGGAAAACTGCAATCAAAGCACCCCCGACAGACGGCCATCCAACCTCTGTTCAAAAGCCTCCAAAGAAGGAGCCTCCACCACACCCTGGGGCAGAGAATAGAGTTGGAAGAGACCAACTCCCTTCTTCCATGCAGGAATGGCACAATGAAAGCACCCCCAACAGATGGTCATCCAGCCTCTGTTTAAAGGCCTCCAGAGAAGGAGATGGAATCATAGAGTTGGAAGAGGCCACATGGGCCATCTAATCTAACCCCCTGCCATGCAGGAAAAGCACAATCAAAGTGCTATGGAAAATCCTCTGAGTTTTATCCAGCCTTCTTTGGTAGATAAACTACAACTCCCATTGCTGCATAGCATGTATATTTATATATTATAAACTGTGCTGCAATTTGTATATTGCAGCACAGTGGTATAGTACAATAATGTAGAATACTAATATTGTGCTGTGCCAATAATTTTATTGTACATATGTATAATACTGATAATAATATAATGTAATACAATATACTACAGATAATATATTATAATATATACTAATATTGTAATATAGTAATAGTAATATATTAAATATAATTACTACCCATAATATATAATAATACATAATAAGATACTGTTTTATTATTGTATATTTGAAGTTGTCATTTTTTGATGGTGAGCCGCTTTGAGTTTCCGTATGGAGAGATAAAGCGGGATGTAAATAAATAAGTAAAATAGAAGTGAGTCCGGGCAATTCAACTGGGTTCAAAAAAGCACTCAAGGGCGTCCCCATTGGGAGATTAGTCGAGCTGAACTGACAAAGCGTCCCTTCTCTACTCGAGGGATGGAGTCGGTTGCCACGGCAACCACAAGGCCTCCAAGGACCCAAACCTCAGCTTCCGGCTTCCTTCCAACGCTATTCCCAGAAGCCACCGCGTCCACTAGCCGCGCTGGAGCTTTCTGATTAGCTGACCCGTCTTGGACCGTACCATCAGGTTGAATGGAAAGGGAGGGGGGCTATCCTAAGGACTCATTCTAAGTAAAAGGACGCGAGTGCAAAGGCAGCATCACTGTTGGACAGCCGAAGCGGTTTAGAGAAAGAGCGACCCGTTGCGGGCGCCTCTGCCGTCGAAGAAGAAAGGCGGGAGACGTCCGCGAAGAACGCCCTCCCCCCACGAGACACGCGCAATGGTCCGGCCCAACCGCCCCCAGAGCCGTCAGTCAAAGGCCTTCACCCGCCTTGTCCTCTCAACGCAACTTGCTCCTCCCCGCGCGCCCATGGGCCGGTGGCCTCGCCGATATGCAAATCACGTCGCCCCGCCAGCCAACGGGGAGGCGGGAGCCGGCCGCGCCGCGCGGGGATTGGCCGTGGTGGGCGGGCCGCCGGCGAGGCTAGCGGGTTGAGCTGCCCCCGCGCGGCTGAGGGGCCGAAGGAGGCTGTGGCGGCAGGAGCGGCGGAGGGGAGTCGGCATGTGCGGCGGCTGAGGCGCCGGGAAAGGAGCCCCAATGGCCGCCGCGGTTGAGGCCGGGAGCCCGCCGCTCCTGGCCCTGCTCTGGCCGCCGCTGCTGCTCCTGCTCGGGCTGCAGCCGCCGCCTCCGGGCGCGGAAGGGGCCGCCAGCCTGACCGAGAGCGTGGTGTGGGCCGTCAACGCGGGCGGCGAAGCCCATGTGGACGTCCACGGCATCCACTTCCGGAAGGACCCCCTTGAAGGCCGGGTGGGACGAGGTGAGAGTCCCTCGGAGCTAGGGCCGCGCAAGTGGCGTCACCCCCGCCACCATTCCACCGTTTGAGAGGCTGGCGGTTGGGGGAGTTGCCGTCCAGAGAGGAACTCCGCTCGGAAGAGAGGCGGAGGCGGGTTTGGGATTCCAGGGAAGAACCCGTGGCTGAGCTTCAGGCAAAGACTCCGGTCCCATCTACACCGCCTTCCATGCCAGGATCCCATCCCAGAACCCTTTCACGCAGCCAGAGAACCCAGAATATCAAGGCCGACAATCCACAATGTCTGCTTTGAACTGGGTCATCTGAGTCCATATAATCCAGTTCAATGTGGATTTTATACAGCTATGTGGAAGAGGGCCCAGATTATCTGCTTTGAACTGGATTATATGAATCTCCACTGCCAGATCATCTGGGATCAGATCGCGGGATATAGGGCAGTGTAGATCCAGCCAGAGGTCCCGTCTACACTGCCTTAGATTCCAGTTTAGTTGCACTTAAGCTGCATTGTATGGCAGTGGAGATGGGGCTGGAGCTTTAGATCCTGCAGGATACTTCATCTCCTGGAGCCAAGCTTTTAGCTCCAGAGGCATGAGAAGGCTTTTAGATTGATCTCATGCACTAAGGAGGCCTTTGCTGTGGCCCACTGCAGCCAATCTTCGCATTCTTCCTTTGATCCTTGGGGGGGGGGGGGGCATATCGGCTGCAGAATTCATGCCCTGTGGTGTCACTTTGAGTGCCCTGGCTCCATACTATGGAATCCTGGAATTGACAAGGGACCCTCTAGGGCCATCCAGTCCAGTCTTTTTGCACCAAGCAGGGAAGGCACCATCCAAGCCCCCCCCCCCCACAGATGACCGTTCAGCCTCTGCTTAGAAATCTCCAGTCAGAGTTGTAGTTGTACAAGGCCTCTGGAGCCTTCTCTGCCAAAGAGAGCTGGTATCTTGCTCAACTGCAGCTCCCAGGAACTCACATCATGGAGCCATGCATTGGTTCTATGTGGTAAGTGCCCCTAGATTGTCAACTGGCAAATTGCATAAATAAGTGTTCCTTCTGCAAAAACCAGCAGGGCATGAGGAAAGGATGAATCTGTTCCACCTGAACATTAGGAAGAACGTTCTGACTGTAAGAAGAGCTGTTAAACAGTGGAACCCTCTGCCACAGAGTCCGGTGGAAACTTCTTCCTTGAAGCCTTTAAAACAGAAGCTGGGTGGTCATCTGTGGGGGTGCTTTGATTGTGCTTTTCCTGCATGGCAGAATGGGGTTGGACCGGTTGGCCCATGCAATCTCTTCCAGCTCTATGATTCTTTGATTCTGTTCTACTTTTTGCCTTTGTGGGCGCATTGAGACTGGGAAACCTCCAAAGCTTGGCGTAGTGAAAGAGTGGTGTAGTTGGCCATGAATTCTCCAGGTCCCATTCCGGTCCTGGGCTGGCTCCCTGCCTCTTTCCATCTCCGGGTCTTAGCTCAGCTCTACCTCTCCTGGAGGCTGTGCTCTTTCCTGCTCTCTCCTTTTGGATTCTGCTGGCCGCTACTTCCTGCCAGTAGAAATCCCAGCAGCCAAACCTGGCCCTTTCTCCTCTCTGTAGGTACAAAAGGAAATGAGCTGGAGGCAGGTGGGAGCAGCAGCACTCCGACCTTGAAGGCCTGCCCCATCTCCCCTCTTCCTCCCTGCAGGGCTTGGCCTCCTGCTCTTCCGCTTCTGTACTCCTTGCCTTTCCCCACCCCTTTGCTTTTCAAAGCACCTTCCTTTGTAGCTTGTTCCTCCCTCCCGGCAACATTTATGCTGGACTTTGGCCCCTTCAGGGCTGTCCCTTGCCACCTTGGAAGTAAGAACGGGTCTGGATGGGAAACTGTTAAGGGTAGACTTTATCACACAGTCTCTGCCCATTTCAGTTGGCGGCTTTAGGGTGCCTGGCTGGTTGCACCTTGGCACGGCTGGGGTGCTGTTGCTTTTGTGAAACATACATCAGAAAAGGGGCGGGCATTTTCATTGGCAGCCCTACAGTAAGCTGGAAGTGACTTGTTTCTATCCGTTTCTTGCTCCTGAGCTGATACAAATCTGTGAGCATTTTTCTTTCAGTCCCCTTGACCTTCTGTCCTTCTTCCTTCTGTGTTGTTCTTTTGTTCTCTGCTCAGCGGATGGAAGAAGAACTATTTTGAGCCCTTGCTTAGTTGCTTGAAATGACTGCCTTGTTTTCACCACCTTTTGCCAAAGGGCCTGGCCGTACTGCTTTCTTTCTCCCTCGGATCTAGTTGCTCGTCCTGTTCTTGGCTTTGGCAGTCCAATCATTGTTAAGAAGATAAGCTTTTTTACGTAGCAGAGTTCTGCAAAGTCTCGAGGCACCATGTGCTTCGCCACAACTCCATCCATACAAGTTTCACAGGCTCAGTGGTTGCATCACACAAACGGTAAGCTTCAGCCATGCCTGGAGTCTTCCAGCGGCCGTTGGAGATGCAGGAAACAATTTCTGGTGTATGCTGAAGATTGCGTCCTCGTCATGTTATCAAAACTTCCTGTCTGCTTCTATCACGATTAGATACAATTGCATCTAAATCTCTTGTCCGGAAACATGAAAACTACCACCATACATGTGGTTTGACTTAAAATTGTCCAATAAGCGGAACAGTCAAGACTCTGCCTGCAGGTGTGCCATGCCTGCCAGCTTTGAGGGCTAGAAACCTGCTCTCTTTTACAAACGGAAATACAGTTTCTCATAAATGGAGCCCTAACTACGTAGTGGTCCCATCTCATAGAATCATAGAATCAAAGAGTTGGAAGAGACCTCATGGGCCATCCAGTCCAACCCCCTGCCAAGAAGCAGGAATATTGCATTCAAATCACCCCTGACAGATGGCCATCCAGCCTCTGTTTAAAAGCTTCCAAAGAAGGAGCCTCCACCACACTCTGGGGCAGAGAGTTCCACTGCTGAACGGCTCTCACAGTAAGGAAGTTCTTCCTCATGTTCAGATGGAATCTCCTTTCTTGTAGTTTGAAGCCATTGTTCCGCGTCCTAGTCTCCAGGGAAGCAGAAAACAAGCTTGCTCCCTCCTCCCTGTGGCTTCCTCTCACATATTTATACATGGCTATCATATCTCCTCTCATCCTTCTCTTCTTCAGGCTAAACATGCCCAGCTCCTTAAGCTGCTCCTCATAGGGCTTGTTCTCCAGACCCTTGATCATTTTAGTCATCCTCCTCTGGATACATTCCAGCTTGTCAATCTCTCTCTTCAATTGTGGTGCCCAGAATTGGACACAATATTCCAGGTGTGGTCTAACCAAAGCAGAATAGAGGGGTAGCCTTACTTCCCTAGATCTAGACACTATGCTCCTATTGATGCAGGCCAAAATCCCATTGGCTTTTTTTGCCGCCACATCACATTGTTGGCTCATGTTTAACTTGTTGTCCACGAGGACTCCAAGATCTTTTTCACACGTACTGCTCTCGAGCCAGGCATCCCCATTTTGTATCTTTGCATTTCATTTTTCCTGCCAAAGTGGAGTATCTTGCATTTGTCACTGTTGAACTTCATTTTGTTAGTTTTGGCCCATCTCTCTAATCTGTCAAGATCGTTTTGAATCCTGCTCTGTCCTCTGGAGTATTGGCTATCCCTCCCAATTTGGTGTCATCTGCAAACTTGATGATCCTGCCTTCTAACCCTTCATCTAAGTCATTAATAAAAATGTTGAACAGGACCGGGCCCAGGACGGAACCCTGCGGCACTCCGCTCGTCACTTCTTTCCAGGATGAAGAGGAAGCATTGGTGAGCACCTTCTGGGTTCGTCCATTTAACCAATGGCTTTTTGGCTTCTACATTAACCTGTGGCTTTTTGAACTAAATTGATTTGAGCAGAACTATTTGCCTCTTACTTGGAGACCAATCCTTCTCTCCTCATGCCTTTTGTCTCTACAATGTGCCTCTCAGTTTTATCCAGTCTGCCACAGCAAACCTAACTTCAGTGATCCCCTGCCATAATAGGGCTTTATGTGAATCTTTTCTTGGCAGGTATAGTTTGTTCGAGACAAAGCTGTCAAGGAGCCTTAAAGAAGTGGCATTGATTGATTTTGTAAGGAGTGAGTCCTTGGTGGGCGTTGGTCATAAAGTTCCACAAGTTGGTCTCAACTTGCCAGTTCCAGGTCTCCTTTTGGGCCGCTGGTTTTGATGCAGCTGCCAGGGCGTAGCTGCAGAACACTTCCAACTCACTGCTTCTGGATTCTGCACACTTTTCTCCCTCTTTTAGGGCACTAAAATGTTGCAGGGAGAGAAGGCTTGGGCAAGATTTAGGAATTGCTTTTCTTCTCATACACCTTCTCCTCGTGAAACACTTTAGCGCTGAATTGGTTTAGGCTAAAAAGTTGGGAAGCGTTTCCAGATGCACTCTGTAGGTCACCAGCCATGGGGACAGGGCCTGTTGGCTGTTCTCTTTCCAATGTTTATTTATTTACTGCATTTATATCCCACCCTTCTCACTCCGAAGGGAACTCTGGGCATCTCAAAAAATAAGGCACAATTCAATGCCACATATACATACATAAAATAAAAACAACCATATAAAATTAAAACCAAATAGTTAAAAAACATATCAATCTTAAGATAAGTTCATTACTTATTGCACTGAGTATTACTGTTCAAAGGCTTGGTCCCACATCCATGTCTTCACTTTCTTTCTGAAGGTCAGGAAGGAGGAACTTGTCTAATTTCACTGGGGAGGGAGTTCCACAGCTGAGGGGCCACCACTTTGAAGGCCTTGTCTCTCGTCCCCACCTGCCTTGCCTGTGAAGGAGATGGGATCGAGAGCAGGGTCTCCCCGGACGATGAGGATTCTAGGCGGAAAATGGGGCAGGGCTCCTTCCATGCACACACTACCTGCCAGATAGATTGGAGTTTTGCTTCAGTGAAGAATCCCTTGTCAGCAGGGTTGACAAGATTCACCTCAAATGAAACATGTCAATTAATTATATGACTTGTAATGAATTAATTCTGAAGAAGAAGCCCCCTATCTTTGATGTGATGTGATGTTTTTATGAGTCTTTGAAGAGACAGATTGAGGATTTTGTGTGCATTTTCTCAATAAAGTCGTTGTTGTGGCCAGAACAAAGTGAAAATAAGGTCTTGCGACAGTGGCTCCCAGCTGCTGTTTACCTTGTCTATTGGAAGCAGGTGCCCACAGCCATGGTAGCATTGCATTCTTTCCCAGCTCAGGCCGTTAATGTATTATTTACTACCAACATGCTGATGCAACCCAACACTGAAATGTATTCTGCCCGCCTTTCTTCATAATCCTCCCAATGCCATTGCTACTAAAAACATTCCAGGTAGACAAGAGGACAAAGCGGAAGTGGGAGGGTCTGGGCAGGCATGAAAGGACTTTGTAAAAGTCTCTTTGTTAGAGGCTTTGCTAACTGAGGCATGCCTGCATTTGGGAGCCAACGGAGCTGGGGCTGGATTTCCTCTTACTCATTAGTACAAGTTCTCTTTGGGGATTTTCTACTTGATTGCATCTTGAGAGGTTTTTCTTTGAAATCTGTGATTCTGTTCCTGTTCCATTTCTTTGACATATGTGTTGCATACTGGTTGTGATTCCCAGTTCCTCTCTTTTAAGTAATTCTTGCTGGTAGAAGAGAGGATCGAGAGATCACATGATAGTCATTTTTAAACACTTGAAGAGATGCCCTGTTAAAAGCTTATTTTCGCCTGCTTTGGAGACGAGGACGCAATGGATTCAAGTTGCAAGAAAGGAGATGTGGCCTAAACATTAGGAAGGGCTTCCTGTCAGTAAGAACAGCTCCACAGTGGGAGCCTCAAAGGGTGGTGGGTTCTCCTTCTTTTGGGGTCCTAAAATAGAGGTTGGATGACTGACTCTCAGAAATATGTTGATGATGTGTCCTTCATGGTTGGAGTTGGAATATAGATGCCCTTGTGGCCCCTTCCAAGCCTACGAGTCTGTGGTTTTTAGTGTTTCTCAAGATTTCTGAATAGTGGAGGCATCCCTTTTTCCAACGTTGAAATGGGGGGCACACGTCACTCTTCTTCCAACCATAAGGTATTAGGACACAGACTCATGTATAAGTCTGGAATTTTGAATGAAAAATTGGCCCCAGAAACCTGGAACAATTTATCCACGGATCAATGTAAGTACTGTACCTTAACGTTTATTGAAAAATGAACTATATCTTAGTAGAATGGCAGAAAGTGAGAGCTGAGACTATCTCAGGAGGACATCAAAGAAGCACCACAGTGCCATTTCTGGCCTTTTTGAATGTCTGGATGGGGAAGTGGTGGTGGCCCAAGGTGGAGCTGCAGTTCCCCTCTGCATGGAATGACCTTCGACTTATCTATGTTTCATGTAAAAATCCATAATTTTGGCCCCCAGACCATGCCTTGACTTATGTACAAGGTAGACTTATACATGAGAATCTACAGCACTTCTAAAATGTGGATACGTGCAATGCCAGTCCAAATGACTTGTGCAGAGGTACATTGGCTAGCTTCCTTTGAAGGTGGATGCTTTTGCTGTGCCTCTCCTTGGTGAGTTCTTTGAGTATTTTATTTTCCAGGCAGGGATACAGAAGAGCTCTCTTTCCCTAGCAGAGGTTGGCAGGGAAGAGTCAAGACCAGAGCCATAGATCCGGAGGTTCCACAGCAGGCGGCCTCCTTTGTTGAGATATGGAGAGCCTCTGTATTTGGCCCCATGGGAGCTACTAGCCCTTGTGCGTAAGAATAGCTAACTCCAAGCTTCTGCCTGACAATAGTAATGCCAGACGCAGGCATTAAATTGGAAACTTCTCCACTGTGAGCTGTTGTCATTGCTTCAAAGGAAATTCTCTTTGAAGGCAGCTGTCTGAGGCCTCTGATGTCATCCTTGAAAACGTTTGTTTCCTGGCTCCTCGCCCACCCCCAAACCACGTCTCAGATTCAGAGAGAGAGAGAGAGAGGGAGGAGTGCTACCTACAGTGTGCAGAGTGAGAATTGCTAGCCTAATGAACCCAGAGGGTCTGTGGACCAGGCGACGACTGAACAGACTTCCAAATGTGCTGCCTGTTCCTTATTGAGTGTCGATCTTTTGGAAGTGGGCCCAAGCCGTGAAGGCAGTTCTCACCTCCCTTGCCCACACACACTGGGCACTGGAGAGTTTCCCCCAAGAAGTTGTTGCTTGAGAACGGCGGCATCGAGCCGTACCTGGTGGGTGTGAGTTGCCAGATGCCACTGATGGAGCTCTTGTGTTGCTTCTTGCCTGTGTCAGTCTGTGTGTTTAGCTCGGTTTCGGACAATATTGCTCATAATGAGAAATCAAGCTGGGCTCTGCTGCATTCCAGCTGCCAGATCTTGCCCTCTGTGAGCCTTTGATCAATTTCTGCCTGTGCTTAAAATAAGAGTCAGAAGCCCCATGGAGATGGGAGAAAACAGTTGGGGTAGGTGGGTACACAAAAGTGTGGGGAAGAAACACCTAAACCCTATGGTTGGTAAATCGAGGACTATGTGTTGACTCACCATCTAACAATTAATTGAACAGACCTACTCTAATTGGAGACTTAAGCCACAGGATTCCAGGCCAGGGCTGCCTTCATTACAAACAAAGCTAAACTTTGGGAGGGGCTTGAAGGGTCTTACCATATTTATTTTTTTAAACGCAGCCTCTGACTATGGCATGAAGCTGCCCATCCTGCGATCCAACCCTGAGGATCAGATTCTCTACCAGACAGAACGCTACAATGAGGAAACCTTTGGGTATGAGGTCCCCCTCAAGGAGGAGGGGGACTATGTTCTGGTGCTGAAGTTTGCCGAAGTCTATTTTGCACAGTCCCAACAGAAGGTAAGCAGTGCATGGCACTGGACCATGCTGTCTTTGAGTCATGGTGGGGACAGTATATCGTTTCAGTCACAAAGGGCCAGATGCAATTGCGTCTTACTTCCATCTTGTAGGTATTTGATGTGCGTGTGAATGGCCACGTGGTGGTGAAAGACCTGGACATCTTTGACAGAGTCGGGCACAGCACAGCCCATGATGAGATTATTCCCATCAGCATCAAGAAGGGGAAGCTAAGTGTCCAGGGAGAGGTTTCGACATTCACTGGGAAGCTGAACATTGAATTTGTCAAGGTAACCACAAACCCTGGCATAGCACTCCCCCCTTGCAAAGATATGTGAGGTGTGGATAGAGTAGATTTGCTCACTTCTTTCTTTCCTGAGTTCTTTCTGCAGCAATGGCTGACCATATGGACCACTGTATTGCTTAGTGCAGGCTAAGGAACCTATAACTCCCATCCTGTCGGAAAGACCTTTATCTTCCACACGAACCTGCCCAAGTTATGAGATTCTGAAATAGGCTTTTGCTGTGTTCCACTAGGACACTCAGTCCATGCTGGCGCTATCATAAAACATGGTGTTGTCTGCCTTCAAGCGATTTCCAACTTATGGTGGTCCTAAAGCAACTCTATTCCAGAGTTTTCTTAGCAAGCTCTGTTTAGAGGAAGTTTACTTTTGCCTTCCTCTGAAGCTGAGAGAGCGTGGGACCTACCCAGGGTCATTGGTGGTTTTCTGTGGCTGAACAGGGCTTTGAATCCTGGTCTTCATAGGTTAATGCTACACCATACTGACTCCTTTTAAAGTCCATATGCAGGTATATGTGTGTACAATTACATTCCTCAGATGATATTTTTGCAGAAGAGGCTCAAGTTTGGATAACCAGGGCTATGGAAAGGGTTAGCCCCCTTTCAGAGCACATCTCTTTTCTCAGGCAAGTAGTTGCTTCCTGTTCCTGTTGCAAAGGGGTAAAAGGCAAAACTTGTGGGCTTTAGTAGCAGGCATGTCAAAACATATCCCCCAATTGTGACTAATATATACACAGGCTTACCACCATCTTGCTCCTCACCATCTTGCTCGACTCCGTCTGGGATTTTTTCAAAAGAATAATACCTCCCATTGCAGAAGAGTCCTAGTGATGAAGCAAGATGTCTCGGGGTTTTGAAGAGTCCCAAATCCTCCAGAATCATTTTAGCAGAGATAGAAAATTCCCTTCTCCCTCCCTCAGATGGATAAAAATCAATAAAGTGACAGACTCACTGCATATATGATAGCAGCAACCAATTAAAACCTGTCGCTGGTGAAGGAAGGCGGACATGGGAGAGCTGAGAAGAGTGTTCCGATCAATATTTCTGAAGATATTCAATCGATGCTTTTGAAATTGCCTTGATCTAAATCAGTCCACCTCTGCTCCCTGGTGTGAATGGCAATACACTCCAACGTGACAACACAGCTCTAAAACTCCCTAGGTAGCTGGGCTGTTAGGGCAAAGTCAGTGGTGGAAAATGACTTTACTGTGTGTTTGTTTTTTTTTCTCTCTGCAGGGGTACTACGATAACCCCAAAGTGTGTGCACTATATGTCCTCGCAGGAACGGTGGATGGTAAGTGTTTTTCTAAAACCACCCGTCTCAACCTCCTCTTCATCTCGCTAGCCAGTTGGGTTTCATGGTACAGCCATTAGCAAGGGGTCTTTGTGTAACAATGACCTTTTGCCAAGAACCCTAGCTTTGGTCCCATTCCAGTGCTGTCTCCCCTTCAGCATCTGTTCAGATAGCAGATATCACCCTGCAGTGTGTGCCTCTGCATGAGCCATGCTCCTGTACTATTCTCATTCAACCATTTAAAGCAGCAGTGGACATCTGGGTGATCTCTCAGTATCTCTGTCTTCATCAAAGTCCTCACAATGGCAACCAGAAGTGCCAGAATGTTACTTCCATTCACCATTTTGAGAAGGTCTTTAACAAAGATAGAAGTAATTGAACTTTTGTGGGGATGGGGGGTCCCCTAAAGGGCTGGGGTGTTTTTACACAGCTTGGGGACTTTTCATGTGGTTTCAGGGCAGAACACACTTGAAAACTGCCCCAAAATTATTTAAAGGGGGAAGATGAGGAGGATAGGGCTTCAGGGCTAGTTAAAGTGGGATCCAAGGGTGCACTTTTGCCCTAGAAGTGGGCAAGGTCTCCAGAGCCATATAGACACCAGACACTGAGCCAAAGTCCCCATGGCACCCAATTCCTGACTTATTTGTGCATGGCTCAGACACTAACTTTTCTCCTCTCTACTTCTCCAGATGTTCCAAAGCTGCAGCCCCACCCCGGCTTGGAGAAAAAGGAGGAGGAGGAAGATGAAGAGGAGTACGAAGAAGGTTCCAGCACTAAAAAGCAGACCAATAAGAACCGGGTCCAGTCAGGGCCCCGCACACCAAACCCGTATGCCTCGGACAACAGCAGCCTCATGTTCCCCATCTTAGTGGCCTTTGGTGTATTCATTCCTACCCTCTTCTGCCTGTGCAGGTTGTGAGAAGCAAGACAAGCAGGCCGGCCAGATGTGGGCCAGAGGGGAGGAGTTGGACCAAACACAGAGGCGGCTTTGGGTTTCTCCATGTTCCTCATAATTTAAGGAAAATTAAAAAAAAAGTTTGCTTAAGGAGCTACAGGTACAATAAGGGAGAGTTTGCATCACCTTCTTTGCGGGGAAATTTCCTGCCCCTCCACAGCCGCCTCTGCAGAACCTTGGCTCTCCTCTGACTGTGTCCTGAGCAGCCACCTTTCCTGCTCAGAGAGCCACAGTTGCAAAACCTGGCGTCCTTCTTGCTGCAAGAGACTAGTGAACTCTATGCCTATCTGGGAGGGGAGATGGCTTAAAGAAGCAGATTTTTTTTGGCATTGAACTCCCTCCTCGCCTGGAATAATTTGCATTGGCGTGCTCCAATGGCGGGTGGGCAAGCGGGAGATGGACTGGTTTCTTGATATCGGCTGAAAGGTTTCTAAGTAAACACGGTACTTCCTTTCCATTGAGAAAAGGTTCAAAGTTGTGGACTGGGCTCTGGGTTAAATGCCCTGGTTGTTGGAACAGGACAAAGCGGGTGTCTGAACTTATCTCCTCTGCTGGGGAGAAATATTTTAGTGATCCCATCTGAGTGTCATCTTGGAACGAGCTTGGCTTCAGGCAGGCCGTTTCCTTACTTGTCATGCCAGCTTGGAGACAGAAATCTTTGCTTTTCGCAGGGATGGGTCTCCTGTCCTGTCTTGACCCACCACTCATTCCTTCCATTTGGCTATTTCCCCAACCCCCAAGGAACCATCTCCTTCCCTTTTGTTGTGCCACTGGAATGGGCACCTCATAGGTTGACTCATGAAGCACTTTCCCCTAATGGCCTTTTAATTTGTGTCAGAAGGCTTCCTTCTCTTGGAGCTGAATGTCACCTCTTTTCCTTTGCCAAAGGGCTCCAGGGCAGGGGGACTGAAGACGTAGCTTTGCTTATGATGCTATGGTTATGTGCATTGGTTCTAGAGCTGATTTGGAAAGGGTTAAGTGTGGGTCATTTTCATGGGATCTACAGCCATCTGTTTCTGGATTTACTGGTTTGTTTTCCCTGGAGCACAGTGTTGACGCATTCTGAAATTGGCAAATCTGTCAGTGATGAAGGAGTTGTATCTGGCATTTTGGTGAGGGATTTGTTGTGTGATCAAGGTGGATGTTGGCAGTTGTCTCAATGGTGGTGGAAGAGTTCTGACTCTTTGACCTGATCCACTGTGGTCTTGCCTCTTGGGCCTGTTTGATTTGTCTCCCCAATCAAAACCAGGTGGCTTGTCATGTTTCCTTGAGGGGGGGGGGGCTCATTTTTTTAGCAAAAGGGGAAATGGCTATCCTACATTGGAAAGAAGGGTGGTATAAAGTTTCTTACTGGTCACTTGGAAGCGCATCATAAAGATACTTGAATAATTTCCATTGCAAGGTTGGCACTGGTTGATACCAGCTCTTGGTGGCTGGAGCCCCATGCATTCTTTTTCTGCAAGTATCACTTCCTTCTTGTTCCAGGCACACCATCCAGACATGATAATCTCCATACTCCGTCCCTCTGCTGTGCTCTTGTATGTCATGGTATATGATGGGCAATGTTTTGCTTACTGGACCCCTGCTATTTGCATGGCAGAGACCTGACTGACATGCTTCACATTCCTCTTCAGAAGCTCAAATCCTTTGTCCCCATCCCTTGGTGAAGCAGGTGGTCACACCTGATTCTGGCCTGCACTCCTCACTTGTCCTCGGTACAGTCCTGGAAAGGAAATCACTTCCAAACAGGGCCACTGTTTTAGGCACAGCTCATACTTGCATTGAACTCATCCACTTGTCCTGTTTCCTCAACCCAGCCACAAATCACATCTCTTCAGGAAAGCCTACCTAGATCAATCTTCTGTGCTTTTGGCCCTAAAGGTCACTTTTTGAAAATTAATTCTACAAATGATAATTCTCTCCGCCTACCTGCTTAGTTTTCATTTTCCTTGGTTAATGAACTTCATGTAGCACCTTTCAGATGGCAGCAGGGATTTGGCTGGATGCAGCCTTGGAAATACCATCAGGTTGTTTGCCGCCCTTCTGCGGTCTGCTGTTTCTTTTCATTGCTCTGGATGTTGCATGATGAGATTGCAAGGAAGCCCTTTGTTTTTTAAATCCCAACTTTCCGAAGGACTTTTATTTAACCCTAGTATGGCTGTCTGGCTTAGGTTCTTTCGTGGCCCATGCACTCAGGTACGTGGTTGGGGCTTCAGCAGGATCACTTTGTCTTGATGCTGTCAATGGGGTCGAGCCCCTCGTCTTTAGAAGATCACCTTTTTCACTTGCTTATTGAAAGACTTTGGGGAGCTTGACAAATACGGCAGCTAGTAGTTTCTCCCATCTTGTTCCTTCAATGACTGCAGCTTGGAAGAGGTATCAGACATCCAGTGTGCCCCTGGCCACCAAAGTTTTAACAGGGGGACTCTGTTGTGTTTTGCTTGTCTGGTTCTGCCTTCCCCTCGCTCCCATCCTGCATTGCATTGAGGAGACAGGGGGACAATGTACTGAATGGTTTTTGGTTCTCATCTATCCCCTTCCAGTCAATTGCTGGTCCCCAAAAGAGAAAGAGTTTGGCTTGCAGCTTGTCAGCAGATTGAACACTGTATCTTACTTAAGCAGGAGAGGTCAGAAACAGGCCTATGTCACCAGAGCAGTCTTGGTCTGGGAAGAAATGCTGTGATTTAGGGCCCCGTGTCCATCCCCCCACCCCCCAAACCTCATCCCTTTATTCTTGAAATTTGCAGAAAAGGCCATGGAGCCTTTGTGCGACTGGCTGAGCCGACCACCTTCCCTGGCTAAATTGGTATGAGGGCTGAGATTCTCCTTTTCAGATAGCTTCCTTGATTCACTCTCGGCTCCAGTCACGCCACGCAAAACTGTTTTGAGTGCAAAACTCTCCCGCCTTGGAAGCTTTTGAGACCCTCCTTTCATGTACACAGAGCAAACGGATCCCGTTTGCCCGTTTTGAACTGTGCCAAGAGAGCCTGGCAGGTGGAAACTGGAGGAACACCAAAGTCGAATCTGTGTCTATGTGTGTTTGTGCCTTTTTTAATTTTTCAGGTAGAGAGATGGCAATAGGCTTTGCTTGCAAAGAAGCTTCTGTTTTAAGGAACTTCTATTTCCACTTCTTTAAAAAAATGAGTTTGTGGGATGGTTGAGAAACCTTATCCCCTTTGAGCCAAACCGTTTCCCTGTCCGCTGAGAGTGAGGCGGCTGGGCTTCGGGTTCACCTTTCCGGTCCTGAGAAGTGCCATGCATGGGGAGCTGGGTTTGTTAAAATTCTGGTTTAGTTGGAAAAAGCAGCTTCACGGCGAGAGCACTACTCGGTGGCCTTCCACTAAGAACTTTGCAGCCTCAACTGTGGAGTGGAAACGCTCTTCACTAAACTCTCAGCATTACTGTAGTTGTCTCAGCATTACTGTAGAGTTGTAGGAGAGGGAGACTGATGTCATCCAGCACTTCTGCAATTGAATGATCTGCAGTCATATAATCTGAATTCTCTGCCAGGTGACTGAAAGCTAGCATCCAGTACTGCAAGCCATGCCATGATGCTAAATTTGGGTTTCCCTGATGTTGGGTGCCCCACTGGCAAAGATACTGGGGCTGTGGGGCATCAGTGTACCAATGCTTTGGGCTTCTGCAGTGAGTTTCCATGCTTTTGACATCCACGGTTTACTTGCAAACATCTCTTTAGGTCCCCCTGGTTTTCGGGACCAGTATAACTATTTGCAGTCACAGTACAACTGCCAAATTGGCTTTAAGAAGGCTGTCAAGTTTTGGCTTCTTGAAACCTAGAAAGGAAATCATTGAATGGGTGGCACACTTTAAACATTATGCAACCAAAAGGAAGACAGGTTTTTTTCTTGAAGAAGGTCTGTTTCTGTGACCAGCCAGGGAGCAAAAGCATCGTCTCCTAGATAGAGGTCCCATCAAAGAGCCACAGAGGTGGCACTGCCAGGACTCAGTGGGTAAACTTAAGCATGGGCAAACTACTTTTTAAAACAATTCCCAGAATCCCTGATTTATTGTGGCTAGCGGTCATGCTGACTGGGGGATTTGGGGAGCCTTAATTCAAAAGAAACAACCTTTCTCTGAACTCTGCTTTTGGGGAACTCGGCCGAAGACGCCAGAAGAAAAAAGCAGAGTCCTGCGAGCATTAAAAGATGCTCGCAGGACCAAAATAATATTGGAGCCTGCTGTGTTTATGCTTCCTCGGTAGGGGAGAAGAGGAAGTCTGCTTAAATAGACTATTGTGTTACAAGATCTTGGCATAAGACGAAAGGAAGGGTGTGCTGGGATCTCCGTAGAATCCCTAAGCATTCCAGCATTATAAATTAGACATTGGCCTGGCAGCAGGGGCCTCGCAGTGGCAAAATACTGTTTCTCTCTACAGCTCTGGTTGGCTGTTACCAGGGATCATTTGGGAGAAGGATCAGTCAGTGCTTTGATGGGCTGATCCTTGTGTTGGTAGAACTCTTTCCTGCCTTTATAGTCCACGTTTAAGTGCTTTCCACCCTTGCAAGGTTAGACATACTATCTGGTGCCTTGCGGAGATCCCTTGGGGATAAAAGGCATACTAGGGTTCCCTCCCAATGTGAGGAAGGTCTCATAAGAGTTCAAAGCATGAGTTAGGAAAGCGGGTGCTCTCAGACCCAGCCTTCGGGTGATCCTGGTGATGCTTTTTGTATGATTTATATTTGGGCCAGGGAGAGGACAGATGTTATTCAATCCGTCCTCCTAAGCAAATGGGTTAAACTCAAGCAGAACGTAGCATCATTGATGGCAAACGGAGGGGCGAGGGGGAGGGGGATGATTGCATCCGATTCACCGTTGGAATTGGATTTGGGGCGCTGCTTGCTCCGGAGGCCTGGGCACGCTTTGAGGCCGCCGATCTCTAGGCTTTTAGGGCAGCAAAACCGAGAACCCCAGTTGGCTGGGATCTCTTTCCTTGCTGGCAACTCTTTCCCCGTAACATAGAAATTAACACATGGCTTTGAAGGAGGAGGGTGTTTTTAACCATCCCTTTGCTTTCTGTCTTTAATCATTTGCAGTGATTCTTTTTTTTTATTATTTTCCTTACTCGGTGTGTATGTTTCATATCAAGCTTTTGGGCAAAGGGTGAAAAGCACAGATGTCTGATGTCTGACTGCGTTGCCTTGGCAAACGGATCTCTTCTTTTGTTTTCCTGGGGAAGTTGGAGGGGTGTGGGTGCGTTTCTTTGGGTTGCTTTCTTCTCCCCACCCCACCCTTGGCCCTATTTTTGGTACATTTAGCTGGTTTTTATTTTATAAATTTTGTTGGTGTCTTCTTTATTTTCTTTTTTTTTCCTCTCAGGATGTCTGGTTGAGGGAAATAATTCTGAAATATACTGCCTGGCAGTTTGAACCAGCAGTGTGTTAAAAATAAATAAAAATGAAATTATATTGTCACTCAAAGGAACTGGTGCTTTCTTGTTTATATATATACTAGCTTATGGACCTGGTGATGCCCGGGTTATTTGAAAAAGGTGTCGTTTGTTTTGGGGTGTTAGGTATGCTCAGTTTGGTGTGGGTGAACAACAATTCCCAGAATCATGGGCAAATCTTCCCCAAACCTTGCCAGTATACAAAGTTGGCCATTTTGGGTTTGTGTGCCAAGTTTGGTCCAGGTACGTCATAGTCTGGCTGTAGTGCTCTCTGGATAAGACTGAACTACAGCTCCGAGATTCCCGGGGCAATCTTCCCAAAACACTCATCAGTGTTCACAATTGGCCTTGTTAACTCTGTGTGCCAAGTTTGCTCCAGATCCGTCGTTGGCTGAGTTCAGTGCTCTCTGGATAAAGGTGAACTACAACTCCCAGATTCCCAGGGCAATCACCTCGAAACCCTGCCAGTATCAACAGTTGGCTGTGTTGAGTCTGTTGCCAAGTTTGGTTCAGATCCATTATTGGCTGGGTTCAGTGGTCTCTGGATGCAGATGAACTACAAGTCCCAAAATCAAGGCCAATTCCCACAAACCCCTGCAGTATGTTCAGTTGGTCATGGGGCTTCTCTGTGCCAAGCTTGGTCCCAGTCCATTTCTGATGGGGGTCACTGTTAATCTGGATGCAGGTGAACTACGACTTCCCAAATCAAGGTCAACACCCCCCAAAAAAGCCCCTGCAGTGTGTTCAGTTGGTCACAGGGATTCTCTGTGCCAAGATTGGTCTCAGTCCATCATCGGTGGGGTTCGGAGTGGTCTTTGATTGCAGGTAAACTTTAAATCCCAGTACCTACAACTAATAAATGTCAAGGCCAATTCCACCCCACATTTAACAGTATTAAAATTTGGGCGTATTGGGTATGTAGGCCAAATTTGGCCCAGATCCATTTATAGTGCTTTCTGGGTCTAGGTGAACTATAATGCTTATAAATCAAGGTGAATTTCCCCCAAAGTCTTCCTGCATTTTTTGCTGGTCGTAGGGTTTCTGTGTGCTAAGTGAGGTCAAGGGCCATCATTGGTGGGGTCCAGAGTGCTCACTGATTGCAGGTGAACTATACATCCCAGTACCTACAACTCCAAAAAACTCCAAAAAATGTCCAGGCCAATTCTCCAAACCCACCAGTATTCAAATGTGGGCATATTGAGTATGCATAGTGCGCTCTGGATGTAGGTGAACTACATCTCCTCTAAATCCCTCCAAAGACTTCCTGTGTTTTTTCTTGATCATGGGTTCTGTGTGCCAAGTTAGTTCCAGGTCCATTGTTGGTATGGTCCAAAGTGCTGTTTGATTTCAGGTGAATTATAAATCCCAGTACCTGCAACAGCCATAAATTTAGGTGAATTTCCCCTAAATCCCTCCTGTATGTTCTGTTGATCCTGGAGGTTCTGTGTGCAAAATGTGGTCCAGGTCCATTGTCAGTGGGGGTCACAGTGCTGTGTCTTGATGCAGAGTGAACTACAACTTCCACCCTGTGGAATCAGTCCAACCCCCTACAGAATGATCCATTCCTCTGTTTGCTGTGTGCCATAGGAAAGGGTTAAGGGAGAGGCAGTGGGCGGGGCCATGCAAATTCCACAGCAATTAAGAGAGAAAAGAATCCTGGGAGGTGTCTTTGTTGGAGGAAAAACAGAAAATCTAGGCTGAAATAGTCCCTGCATGAAAGCCTTCACTTGGGTGGTGGGCAGTATGTCGTTTGTGGAGGACATTGGCAGGGCTCTTGGACATGTTCATGGTAACCTGCAATGTCAGGGGCCAGGAGTGTCTCCTGCTCAGTGGGAACTATAGTCTGTTTGTGGAGGTAGGACTCTGTGTAAGCAGAGATCTCTGTCACATGTGGATGGATGGATGGACGGACGGACAGATAGATTAGATAGATAGATAGATAGATAGATAGATAGATAGATAGATAGATAGATAGATAGATAGATAGTGTCTTTTATGTCAAAGAAGCTTGGCGGTGTACTGTTCTTAAACATCTCCATCCTCTGGTTTAGGTATATTCTGCTGAAATGACCTATTTGAGGAAACTGAATTATTGTGGCAAGACTAAGGGCCACATCTGAGCTTCTCAAACACTTTTTTTCATCATCATTATTATTACAATTTACATCCTTTTGTATTTCTCATTGAGTGCAGGAGTTGAGTTGGAAGAGATATTGGACTGATTAGAAGGATGTCTCCCCTAAAATGGGTTGCCCAATTCCTTTGGGCAACCCATATTATTATCCATAATAATAATGATGATGATGACGATGATGACGACGACTCTGGCAAAAGCCAGTAAAGGTGGTTCCATTGGTGATAGGGACACTGGGTGCCTTGCCTAAAGACCTTGGCTTGCACTTAAACACAATCAGTGCTGATTGTGGGAAATGCGGGGAATGCCGTGGATGTAGCGTACCTGGATTTCAGTAAGGCCTTTGACAAGGTCCCTCATGACCTTCTGGCAAACAAACTAGTCCAATGTGGGCTAGGCAAAACTATGGTTAGGTGGATCTGTAATTGGTTAAATGGACGAACCCAGAGGGTGCTCCCCAATGCTTCCTCTTCATCCTGGAAAGAAGTTACGAGATTAGTGCCACAAGCAGGGTTCCGTCCTGGGCCCGGCCCTGTTCAACATCTTTATTAATGACTTGGATGAAGGATTTGAAGGCATGATCATCAAGTTTGCAGATGACACCAAATTGGGAGGGATAGCCAATACTCCAGAGTGCAGGAGCAGGATTCAAGACGATCTTGACAGATTAGAGAGATGGGCCAAAACTAACAAAATGAAGTTCAACAGGGACAAATGCAAGATACTCCACTTAGGCAGAAAAAAACAAAATACAAAGATACAGAATAGGGGACAATGCCTGGCTCAAGAGCAGTACGTGTGAAAAAGATCTTGGAGTCCTCATGGACAACAAGTTAAGCGTGAGCCAACAATGTGATGTGGTGGCAAAAAAAGCTAATGCAATTTTGGCCTGCATCAATAGCATAGTGTGTAGATCTAGGGAAGTAATGCTACCCCTCTTTTCCGCCTTGGTTAGACTACACCTGGAATACTGTGTCCAATTCTGGGCACCACAATTGAAGAGAGATATTGACTCTAAGCTGGAATGTGTACAGAGGAGAGCAACTAAAATGATCAAGGGTCTGGAGAACAAGCCCTATGAGGAGCGGCTTAAGGAGCTGGGCATGTTTAGCCTGAAGAAGAGAAGGCTGAGAGGGGATATGATAGCCATATATAAATATTTGAGAAGAAGTCACAGGGAGGAGGGAGCAAGCTTGTTTTCTGCTTCCCTGGAGACTAGGACGCGGAACAATGGCTTCAAACTACAAGAGAGGAGATTCCATCTGAACATGAGGAAGAACTTCCTGACTGAGAGCCGTTCAGCAGTGGAACTCTCTGCCCCGGAGTGTGATGGAGGCTCCTTCTTTGGAAGCTTTTAAACAGAGGCTGGATGGCCATCTGTCAGGGATGCTTTGAATGCAATATTCCTGCTTCTTGGCAGGGGATTGGACTGGATGGCCCATGAGGTCTCTTCCAACTCTATGATTCCATGATTCTATGATCTGCCAGCTGCAAAAGCCCACCTTACTGGGATCTGCACGCATTATTTGCCGATACATCACACAGTCCTAGACACTTGGGAAGTGTCCGACGTGTGATCCAATACAGCCAGCAGAGTGATCTTGTCTGCTGTGGACTCATCTTGTGTTTCGAATAATAATAATAATAATAATAATAATAATAATAATAATAATAATAATAATAATAATAATTTTATTTATATCCCACCCCATCTCCCTAGAGGGACTTGGGACAGCTTACAAAACAGCAGCAATGCAAGCAGGAAAAACATAAAATATAAAAATACAACAATAACCTAATCAATAATCCATCCTATACAGTCAGCCCCCCACATTTGCTGGGGTTAGAGGCCCCTGGGAAAGTGAAATGCTATGAATACAGGAATTGTGTTTAAAAAAAAACTTAGAGAATACCTTTCTTGGGGTTTCTGGGACTTTGTGGTGACTTTCTGCTGCAAGCCGGCCACAGAATTCCATTAGAAGACATAGAGAGGGCTCTCCAGGCTTCTCTGGCTCCTCCAACAGGAACGAAGTGGACCTGGAGGACTGAGAAATGCCCAGAGAGGACATTTGATCTGTGAATAGTCAAATCGGCACAGATTGAAAGCACTAAGAAAACCATGAAGGAAGCCTTGGCCCCAAGTTTGCCTTCTAAGGCTCTTGGAATAGGTGCCAGGAGGCGAATCCTTCCTGCTGTGGGACTCTGGCTTCCTTCCCAACCTTTGGTCCTTTGGGACTCCAACTCCCAGAAGCCCCAGCTAGCTGGGCCAACTGTCAGGAATTCTGGGAGTTGAAGTCCAAAACTCTTGGAGGACCTACAGCTGGAAACCACTCAAGACCAGTCTTCCAATAGTTTTATGACCTCAATCTTTTTTTGTTTTGGCTGTAGGATTCAGGGAAGTGTCATGGCAACTTTTAAATTATTATTTATGTGTGTATATATATACATTTGTTACCTTGCCTTTCCCCAATGCAAGGGATCGAGGCAGCTAACAATACATATAAATATGACAATGAAATTAAACAAAACACAACACAACAAATGTGTTCAAACTGCTTATTTATCGTGTCAGTATCAACCAGACAATTGTATTAATTTTAAACAAATTTTTAACAGACAAACCAGAGTTTGCAAGCTTGGTAGTTGATTAAATGTCCTTTGACCAATAGCTGGCCACTTGGAGTGCCTCTGGTGTTGCCGCAAGAATGTGCATGTGGCAGGGCTCCAGGTTGCATTGCAGCAGGTGGTCTGTGGTTTGCTCTTCTCCACACTCGCATGTTGTGAATTCCACTTTGTAGCCCCATTTCTGAAGGTTTGTTCTGCAACTCGTGGTGCCAGAGCGCAGTCTGTTCAGCGCCTTCCAAGTTGCCCAGTTTTCTGTGTGCCCAGGGGGGAGTCTCTCTTTTGTTGTTCATTCGTTCAGTCGTCTCCGACTCTTCGTGACCTCATGGACCAGCCCACGCCAGAGTTCCTTGTCGGCCATCACCACCCTCAGCTCCTTCAAGGACAAGCTAGTCACTTCAAGGATGCCATCCATCCATCTTGACCTTGGTCGGCCCTTCTTCCTTTTTTCTTCCATTTTCCCCAGCATAATTGTCTTCTCTAGGCTTTGCTGTCTCCTCATGATGTGGCCAAAGTACTTCAACTTTGTCTCTAGTATCCTTCCCTCCAATGAGCAGTCGGGCTTTATTTCCTGGAGGATGGACTGGTTGGATCTTCTTGCAGTCCAAGGCACTCTCAGAACTTTCCTCCAACACCACAGTTCAAAAGCATCTCTCTTCCTTCGCTCAGCCTTCTCTGTGGTCCAGCTCTCATATCCGTAGGTTACTACAGGGAATACCATGGCTTTGACTAGGCAGATCTTTGTTGCCAGTGTGATGTCTCTGCTATTTACTATTTTATTGAGGTTGGACATTGCTCTCCTCCCAAGAAGTAAGCGTCTTCTGATTTCCTGGCCACAGTCTGCATCTGCAGTAATCTTTGCACCTAGAAATACAAAGTCTGTCACGGCCTCCACATTCTCTCCCTCTGTTTTCCAGTTGTCAATCATTCTTGTTGCCATAATCTTGGTTTTTTTGACGTTTAGCTGCAACCCGGCTTTTGTGCTTTCGCTCTCATTTGGTATCAGCCATTAATTGAGGTTCTGGATTTGAGCCTGCCACTTTTGGACTCTTGCTTGCTGGGGTGTTCCAGAGTGTGTCTCTGTAGATCTTAGAAAACTATTTCTTGATTTAAGTCATTGACGTGCTGGCTGATACCCAAACAAGGGATGGGCTGGAGATGTCACTGCCTTGGTCCTTTCACTATTGGCTGCTACTTCCCGGCGGATGTCAGGTGGTGCAATACCAGCTAGACAGTGTAGTTTCTTCAGTGGTGTAGGGCGCAGACATCCTGTGATAATGCGGCATGTCTCATTAAGAGCCACATCCACTGTTTTAGCGTGGTGAGATGTGTTCCACACTGGGCATGCATACTCAGCAGCAGAGTAGCATAGTGCAAGGGCAGATGTCTTCACTGTGTCTGGTTGTGATCCCCAGGTTATGCCAGTCAGCACAACCAGAAGCAATCAGAAGTTCAAACTGCTAAAAAGCCATTTTATTATTTATTCATTTGGGGCATTTTTACCCCGCCTTTCTCCATTTCGGCCCAAGGAGACTTACAACATCATCCTAACATAAACCATTCCTAAAACAAGTAGCAAAAGCCACCAGAAAGGCCTCCCTTTTTGAACCCGCCAATCCCAGGAATCCGCGGGGAGTTACCATGGCAGCCAGAGAGGACAATACGGCCGGGAGGCATTTGGCGGGATTGCGCATGCGCCCTGGCGAGGCTTCCTTCCCTGCCCGGCAACGCGCGCCTCTGCCTTCGGACGTCACGGCGTCGTCGGCGTCCTTCAGCCCCGCCCGCGCCTTGGCTCCCATAGCGACGGGAGCAGGCAGCGGCCATCTTGGCGGCGGCGGCGGCCGGCCCGGCGGCGATGAGCGGCTCGAAGCCCAGGGTGGCGCCGGCTCCGGCGGGGAGAGGGGCCCTCAGCCGTCTCCGAGGGCCCAGGGGCTCCGGGGACGCCTCCGCAGCCCTCCTGCCCCGCACCGAGGCCGAACTGCTGGCGCTGGAGCCCGTCCGGCCCGAACACGTCCTCGGCCTCAGCCGCGTCACCCAAAGTGAGTCGAGTGGGGGGCGGCCTGGCCTCCAAGGCCAAGCCAAGCTCAGGCGGGCCACCCCAGCGGGCCGGGCGGGGAGCGGGGAGGAGAACCCTGTGATTCCGCACCCCAGAATGGCGGAGCAGAGCCTGGAAACCCTGTTATTCTGTACCTCAAACTGCAGTCGAGGTTGGAAACCCGATTATTCCGCACCCCGGAATGTCAGAGGTCGAAAACCCTATTATTCTGCACCCCGAAATGTCAAAGAGGTCAAAAACCCTATTATTCTGCACCCCGAAATGTCAAAGAGGTTGAAAATCCTATTATTCTGCACCCCGAAATGTCAAAGAGGCTGAAAACCCTATTATTCTGCACCCCGAAATGTCAAAGAGGTCAAAAACCCTATTATTCTGCACCCCGAAATGTCAAAGAGGTCAAAAACCCTATTATTCTGCACCCCGAAATGTCAAAGAGGTTGAAAATCCTATTGCTTTGCACCCCGGAAGATCGTAGGCTCGAAATTTAAAATCCTATTATTCTGCACCCCAGAATGCCAAAAGAGGTTGAAAATCCTATTGCTCTGCACCCCAGAATGTCGTAGAGCCCTTCCACACAGCCCTATATCCCAGAATATCAAGGCAGAAAATCCCACATTATCTGACTGTGGACTCAGATAACCCAGTTCAAAGCAGATATTTTCTGCCTTGATATTCTGGGATATAGGGCCTGTCTGGAAGGGCCCAGAGACTCGAGGTTGAAAATCCTATTATTCTGCACCCCAGAATGCAGTTTAAAATGAAAACTCCTCCTTCAAAATACTGGGGACCCAAATTCTTTGTTATGTTGAATTTTGTATTGGGAATATTTGTATATGCCTGTATGCACACGTGCGTGCGTGCATACACAGAAAGAGAGAAGGTTGTGTGCAGTGTCTCAGCCATCCTGTGCCGGCAGGACTGAAGACCGACAGGTCACAGGTTCGAATCCAGGGAAAGGCGGATGAGCTCCCTCTATCAGCTCCAGCTCCTCATGAAGGTACATGAGAGAAGCTTCCCACAAGGATGATAAAAACATCAAATCATTCGGGCGTCCCCTGGGCAACGACCTTGCAGACGGCCAATTCTCTCACAACAGGAGCGACTTGCAGTTTCTCAGGTCGCTCCTGACACTACAAAAAAAAAAGCCATCCCTGCGGACAATTTAGGGAATTTTGGGAGCATTTCCAGAAAAGAGAGACTCGGCCCTTTATGTGTCATTTGGTTTGATTCCTCACACTAGGAGAGAAGCTCAAGATGTATTTATGTTTGACTTCTGGAATGTATTCCTTTTTTTCTGAGTGCCCCTTCCCTGAAATATTTAAGAGGAGTGTTTTAGATTTCGGGTTCCTTACCTCTTCCTTTCCAAGATTCGTAAGCCACTTTGAGAGCCTCTGTGTCTCTATTTTTTTAAGGGAGCTCTTGGAGAAGTTTAAGCACAAAATCGGTGGGATCTGCTGTAGACATCATATATACATAGACGGTCATTTTATACACAATAAACAGAGTGTGTGTACATTGAACCATCGCAAAGTAGTAGGGTTGCTAGCTCAGCCACACAAAGGAGGCAACCTTTGGACTTGTTTGGATTTTCAGAGAAGGGATGCTCAAACCTGCATTCGACCCAAAGCCTTTGTTCCTTGCATGTCGCCTGTGTTTCTGTGTATCGATGAACATGAAATTTGGCGTGTTCTCCTTTTGTGCAAACGCACCCTTGACTGCAGATCTCTTGATGGGAAACTCCAAACAATTTTGCAATTCTGATAGGAACTGCCCAGATGGTCACAACCAGAAAACACAACTCTCTTCTGCTTTTTTAAAAATGGCAATTTGATGATGCTAAATAGCCTGCCGCTTATTTAGAAAGAGGATTGCTGCTCCTGTAGGCTTCTGGGCCATGCAGCTTATCTCTTTGACCAGACAATCCCTCTAAATCAGTGCCATCCTCTCTGGATAGTGACATATTTGCCGTTGAAGCCCTTCTACATGCTTCTCAAAACTCGTTCCAATTTTGTCCCCTCTCCCTTAGACTATCTGTGCCGACCTGAAGACAATATCTATAACATCGACTTCACCAAGTTCAAGATCCGGGATCTAGAAACAGGGACTGTGCTTTTTGAAATTGCCAAACCTTCATCTTCAGGTGAATTAGTCATAAAGAAAGGGGTACTGGGTAGAACTAGCAGACAAGGGCCTTTCCATTTCATCTCCACATTTCTGGCTGATTTTATTTTATTTTTAAAAATTAGCCCTTTGTTGTGTTAGGTTTTAGCCTTGGTTTTAGGCTATGTTGCGTATTGGTGATCTTATGTGCTTGTATGAAGATACAACATCTGAAAATGGCAACATCACTTATGGTATATCGATAAATACAACCCATGAAGCTTTCCTTAGGGGACAAGGAACACAGCTTCAGTCTAGACTCACTGAATGTTTAGTTTTAAGATCCCTGAAAGAGGGCTTTTGCATGATCTCTCCAATGTCACCAGACTAACTGGGCTGAAGGAACATTTCAAAGGTTTAGACTCTTTATTGAAGGGCAGTTCACTAGGATGTAGTTCACTATATGCCTCACTGATGTCCTGCTGTCTTCACTTTGGTGGGGTATACTCAGACAAACATCTGGGTGGGTTGTGCCTTGCACGTCAGACCTCTTTTCTGGATGTTATTAAGAGCGAAGGAGAGTTGTCTCAACTGGATGATCTGCATGCCTTGTTGTACTGTGTCATGTTTTCCTCCAGATATCATACGACTTATCTTGCATTCCTCCCAGATATAAATCTGACCAGATTGTAGCACAGCTACTAACTCAAGAAGCAGTGAGTGAGGTGGGTTGAAAAAGCAGGCTGTAGCTATAAGCATTCTGGTAGGAAAGGCTCCTTGATCCTTACTTCCCCAGTGTCTCACACAGGTGTCACCTGTGTTACTGTTAGGAACGTCAGTAATTCGGACAGGCACTTGTATGTTTTACTGCTTAACCCCTTTCACGATCCATTCTTCCAGAACAAGAGGATGATGGCAATGATCCTGGGGAGATAGACACCAGTGCGGGCCGTTTTGTTCGCTATCAGTTCACACCAGCTTTCCTGCGCCTCCGAACCGTTGGTGCAACGTGAGTATGTTGCTTATAGCTGGCCTCTCAAGACATTCCCAACAAACCAATTGAGCCCTTTGACAAGAACGTGTTAGAGAAATAGGAAGTTTAAGCAGTATCTGGACCTTGGGGTAGTCCATGCTTTTAAAAGAAATCACAGCAAAAAGGTGATTTTTGCATTCTGCCTAAATTATATTTAATGTGCCAGGTTCTGTTTGCTTGGCACAGGTTTGGCATTTTAATGGGCTTCTTGCAGGGTTTCTCTTGGTCCCAGCACCATCACAGGCCCATCCATGGAGAATATGGGTTATATTTTAAAAAGTGTTTGCAAACTTAGTCTTCTAAAATGAACAATGTTGGAATATAATAACCTACTGAGTTGTGTTTCAATTATTCAATTTTCAGGGCTTTAGTTTTAACCTTATCATAAGTTGCTGTGGGTCCCATGTGTGGTGGGAATGAAATAAATACATTAATGATAAATATCCTTTTGCAAAATATGTATTCTGCTTCACTAGTTGGAGTCGGGTGGTGTTCTCCTAAGTCCCAAACTTTATGACTAGAAATATTCTCCATCCTCTATTATTTAAGCATTGTCCCTGATAGACACCAGTGTGAGCTTAAGAGGTTCACTTGGCTAAAATGGAATATTCTTTTCCTCCCTTCCCTACTTCCACAGAGTGGAGTTCACTGTGGGGGACAAGCCTGTGTCAAACTTCCGCATGATTGAAAGGCATTATTTCCGAGACCGCCTTCTAAAGAACTTTGACTTCGATTTTGGCTTCTGTATCCCCAGCAGCCGAAATACCTGTGAGCACATCTATGAGTTTCCCCAGCTTTCAGAGGATCTCAGTGAGTATAATTTTATATCAGAGTTTTCTTGGGCTGAGACAGAAAGTGCTATTAGGAAGGAAAGTTAGGGCTTTGATGCTTTGAAGCACCACAAAGAGGTTTAGTGGCTTTCGTTGGAGACGGAATGATGGACCAGAGGGATTCTGTATCCACCTTTATGAGCTTGAAGGGGAAGATTTCTGGAGTGAATGGTCTGGGTTTTTTGTCTTTGTACTTGAGCAAACTATTGGCTGGTCTTGGGTCTCCTCTGGCAGGTGAGGTGTATTCCAGGGTTAACCTAAATCTTCTCTCCATTTCCACGCAGTCCGTCTGATGGTTGAGAACCCCTACGAGACCCGCTCAGACAGCTTCTACTTTGTGGACAACAAGCTGATCATGCACAATAAGGCTGACTACGCCTACAATGGGGGCCAGTAGCATCCGTTGAATGGGGCGCCGTCGCTAGTTACCCTGAGCGTGCCAGAGAAGAGCCGAAAAGCCATTCCCTCCTCCCAGTCTACTTCCGGAACATTCTGCCAAGCTCACGGAACAACGCTGATGGGGCTGAGGGGGCAACGTCTGCAAGAGTAAAGGAGATCTCCTTGCACTGCTGTCCTTTCCGGCCTTGTTTTTTCCTTGGCCTCTGCTTGGCTTTTTTTGATCTCCTGGTAAGGTGACAAGTCCAGTTGTCTGTGAAATGCTAACTGGTGTAGCAATTCTTGTAGCTTAGCCATCTTAGCCAGACTTTCTTGTGTGCTCTGTCCCCACCCTTGTGCTCCTCTTTTCTCCTTAAGACCAGGAGCACAGATCCACAGCAGGAAGCTGTTGCCTCTTCAGAGGAGCCAGGGAAATGTAGATCGCAGTCCCCCAACAAGAGAGACAACACAGGGCTGGCCTGTTTCTTTTGCCACGTCCGATGGATGACTGTCCTTGTCTGACAACAAGCCTTTTAGAAATGCAATACTGGAGGACCTCAAAATGAGGGGATGCTCCAGCTTGCCATAGAACTGGACTGTTTCTTCTGCTTGTAGAGTCGTAGATGTTCCATAAATATTGTTGGTAATGATTTCTGGAGTTGCCGAAGGAAAGGACCAACCACATGACAGTTTTCTTCTGGCACGTGCTGGAAACCCAAAGCTCAGACTGGTGGCATACTGGAAGAAATGGTGGTTGTAGCCAGCCAGTGCAACTTAAGCTGGCGCTTCAGCTCAAGCGACTGCCAAACCGCTCTTTTGAGATTTCTGCTACTCAGCTCTGAGAAGAAAGGGAACCTGTTGATACTGGGATTTTTGCTTTCCCCATTTTATTGGCTTTGATTAAATAGATGAGACAAGAAGCCAGCTAGCGTTTGTCATTGAGATGTAGCCATTCCTGTTGGCAAGTACTGTGAGAAAACAGGGGCGTTCTTGAGTCAGGGAGAGGAGCCTTGCCCTCATAGCCTTTGTGATCACCACCTTCCCAGTCTGAGACCTTGCCTTGATCCCAAGCAAAGCTGCTGTTTCTTCCCCCATCTGGTGATCTCTATCAGAAGTGGCTTCAGTAAAAAAATGGGACCATTGCTATGTTTCAGACCAGTCCTTTGTGGGGAAGTGTGTTGTTTCCAAAGAAATCTGGAGCAGCAGAGGGAGGGAGAACAACTACCAAAAGAAAGCACAAACTTCTTTGTTGTGTTGATAAGGTAGGACATCCTAAGCACCGCAGAGTATTGGGCGTAAAACAGAAAGGGTCAGAGTTTCTCAAATCAGTGTGCAGTTGTTACTTTTAAGAACTGGATAGTTGGGTGTTTTCCCCCCAAAAAATGTAATTGTTATCTGAAGTGAGGGTGCCTTGGGTAGATCTCCCACCTCCTTCACCGTGATCCAGTCATCCGAATTATGACAATCCCACTTTGGCTACAGCCTCCCTGCTGCTTGCTACAAAAAAGGTGCCTTTTTAACCTTGCGTCTGGAGGCGCTGCAAAAAAGGAGTATGGAAAGTCTTCCACGGTTAAACCCCAGGTGCCTTGTTCAGTGTCCTTTGGTGACGCTCAGGCTTCTCTCTGCTTTCTTTCTGGCTCACTCACCCCAGACACAATGGGAAGGGAAATGTAGCAGGCTCCATTGGTGGCAGGCCCCATTCTTTGCAATAAACCTCTAGCCGCTTGCCTCTTCCTCCGGCCTTGGTACCCTCAGCCCCACATGAGCTCTGCATGTCCTTTGGAGCAGCCTATCTCTTAGCAATAATAATAATAATAATAATAAAACAACCAACTGGAGATAGAAATATGACAAGGCCTTGCTACTGGCTTTAGACTAAACGTTTAAAAGGAATTTCAGAAGGAGGAGGCAGGGAGGGTCCTGATGTCTCCAATAACATGACTCCAGACGCAGCTTTGGCACCATGGAACAGTTGTGTCCAAAGAGGATACTGGAATGCCCATTGACTGTCCCTCAATGGAATTGCGGTGCTAATAGGGCTGGGGTGGAAATCTGCTCCCCTTAACAACCTGGCAACATCTCTAGGGCCCCTTTCACACAGGTGTGTACAATCCACATTGAACTGGATTGTATGGCAGTGTGGACTCAGATAACCCAGTTCAAAGCAGATATTGTGTATTATCTGACTTGATATTGTGGGGTTATATGGTGTGTGGGAGCCCCCGGTGGCACAATGGGATTCGAACCTCCAACAGGTAGCAGGTTCCAATCCAGGGAGAGCACAGATGAACTCCCTCTGTCAGCTCCAGCTCCCCATGCGGGGACATGAGAGAAGCCTCTGACAAGGATGGTAAAACATCAAAACATCTGGGCGCCGCCTGGACAGCGTCTTTGCAGACAGCCAATTCTCTCACACTAGAAGCGACTTGCAGTTTCTCAAGTCACTCCTGACACGGAAAAAAAATGGCTGTGTGAAAGGGCCCTAGCTTGCTGGCTGAAATGAAGTTTCTGTCCTCTCAACCAAAAACTTTGCAAAAGGGGGAAGCAGGATAGTATCCACGGCAAATCTAATGACTCGGAGAAATGAGCCAGTGTTCCATCAGTGCGCCTTCTCTGTGGACATTCCCTCTGGTCCATTCAAACACCAGACCAAAGTGTCACTCTCCCTGCTTTGCTGTAGGGCGGTTGTCCTCGCCTGCATTTTCTTTTCATCTCAGAGAAATGAGAAACCCAACCAGCAGAGGGCTCTTCCCAGTCATAGCACGGACAAAGGGACTGGAGACCCATCCGCAGGGAAGGGGACGGACTGTTTACTGTTTGCCTTAATCCTTTCTGTTAGCTATTGCCCTCTGTGCGAGTCTTCTCCTGAAGTGGCCCCCGCTCCAAGCAAAGGAGGCACAGTACAGCCGCAGCACTATATTTTTTAAGCAGCGCAAATGTATGTATGGACCTCAGGGTCTCTTTTTTAGAATCAGGATTTTCTAAGCCTCTTGAATCCTTCCTGACAGTCAAAGAAGAGACTGTCACTGTGTCAACAGCAGTGACAAGACCAATAATAGCATTGGCCAACAATCCCTTCCTTGCTTTTTTCCCCCTTTGTGGTGTTCTTTGCTGCCTGTAACCCTTGTCCCTGTCGAACCGTGTCCATTCCAGAACAGATCCCGGTCGTTTTCTATTTTTTTTCCGCGAAGGTATTTTTCCATTAAGGACAACGGCAAGCACCAAAGAGGCCTGTGCGATTTTCTTCTCCTCTTTGTTGAACCCGTCATCATGCCTTTGCCTCGCTCTGCAACCAACTACCTGACTGATTTGTATGAAATGTTATTTTGTCACAAGCAATAGCAATCATAATAAAAAAAATCTCAAAATGGTACAATCCCGTTGTGGTTTGTGTGCTGTGAGTCCTGGGCTGCTAGTGATAGAAGGCCTGGCTTCGTCCGTGTCTTTAAATGTTTCAAATGTTTTAAATTCTAATCCCAAAATCAGCTGGGCACCTTTGCACCTGATCAGGCAGGTGATTCCAGTATATTCCAAGATACAGTGTGGCTGGGAAATGGCTTCAAGGCGAGTCAAACAATGTACAATTTCGCCCAGAAAGAAATTTTGGGAAATCTTGGCAGCTACATCAAGATGGAGCACTGCTTTCGCCCCACGGGTGAGTTGTTCCCTTTTTGACAATTATAGTGTTTGTAGGGGAACATAGATGTTTCAGTGAGGATAAGTCACGCTGTTCACCAGACTCTGAATATTAACTTGAGATTCTTTATGAAAGATAGTCACCCAAAGCAAAGGAAGGCAAGCTTCACATAATAGTGAACCAGCTTTTTTATTATTTAAAGTATTCCTTCCATTGTGTATTTTGCCATTTGTGTGAGTTCTAGTTAACGGAGACTCTACTAAATAAGTTGTGCCTGCTGCATACATTCAAATTAGAAATGGCTCAAAACTATTTGGGAAAAGAAATCCCGCTGGCGTTTCAGATCTTGGGAATTGCAATGCTTTGACTTGAGAGAGGAAATTGGCATAGAAACAAGTATGATGATGAGTTGTGGTAGGTTTTTTCGGGCTATGTGGCCATGTTCTAAAGGCATTCTCTCCTGACATTTCGCCTGCATCTATGGCAAGCATCCTCAGAGGTTGTGAGGTCTGTTGGAACTAGGAAAAGGGGTTTATATATCTGTGGGATGTCCTAGGTGGGACAAAGAACTCTTGTCTGTTGGAGCTAGGTGAGAATGTTTCAACTGGCCACCTTGATTAGCATTTGATGGCCTGGCAGTTTGTTGGTGTGGCTTGTTAGTGCCTGGGGGAATCTTTTGCTGAGAGGTGATTTGCTGTCCCTGATTGTTTCCTCTCTGGAGTTTCCCTGTGTTTGGGTGTTGTTTTGCTGTTATAATTTTAGAGTTTTTTAATACTGGTAGCCAGATTTTGTTCATTTTCATGGTTTCCTCCTTTCTGTTGAAATTCCCCACATGCTTGTGGATTTCAGTGGCTTCTCTGTGTAGTTTGACATAGTGGTTGTGAGAGTGGTCCAGCATGTCTGTGTTTTCAAATAAAATGCTGTGTCCAGGTTGGTTCATCAGGTGCTCTGCTATGGCTGACTTCTCTGGTTGAAGTAGTCTTCAGTGCCTTTCATGTTCCTTGATTTGTGTTTGGGCAATGCTGCGTTTGGTGGTCCCTATGTAGACTTGTCCACAGCTGCATGGTATACAGTAGACTCCTGCAGAGGTGAAAGGATCCCTCTTGCCCATTGCTGAACGTAGCATTTGTTGGATTTTCTTAGTGAGTCTGTAGATAGTTTGTATATTGTGTTTCCTCATCAGCTTCCCTATGCAATCAGTGGATCCCTTGATCTATGGGAAGAACACTTTTCCTCTGGGTGGATCTTTGCAGGCGAAATGTCAGGAGAGAATGCCTCTCGAACATGACCATATAACTCAAAAAAACCTACAACAACCCAGTGATTCTGGTCATGAAAGCCTTCGACAATACATAGTACGACAATGATGATCATATCTGGGCCTTGTAGTTCAGAGCAACATTTTTCCTCTTATTTTGTGCACCTTAGTTCTGCAAAATGGGCTTTGTTTAATGCTTTATTGCCTTAAGCAGGGAGTCTTGCTTTATTGCCTTAAGTCTTGCTTTGGAGGGCAAGAGAACTACAAGACCCAGAATGCCTTTCTGCTGGGGAGGCAAAGTTTTGGAGAAATCCAACGTCAGTCTTTGCCCTAAAATCGGTTTTGCTCCCAACTCGAGCAATAGGGGTTTTTTTATTACACTTCATTAAATGCGCTATTACGCCCCTTTAACTGCCATGGCAACGTACGGTGGCATGCTGGGAGTTGTAGTCTAGTGAGGCCCACCCTGAGGGTTCGAAGGGCTGCATTTCCCAGCATGCAATGAGAGGTTAAAGGGTTAATTGGCTCAAGATGGCGGACATGTCCCGCACATTTCTGAGGTGGAACTAAAGGTTGAGGTTGTTTTCGAAAGGGCGCGAGGGGGCGGGGAAAGAAGCGGGTGATGAATATTCAGGACGAGGCGGGGAAAGAAGGCAGGCCCTCGTGAATATTCATAAGGAGGCAGAGTCAAAAAAAGGTCTCGGTCGCCAGAGCCCTCTTCCTTGGCCCCGGGATGGCAGCAGCCATGGCTCTCTCTGCGCGACGCTGCGGTAAGTGAGGAAATGTCGTCCCCCCTCTGAGCGTTGCTACTTGGTACGCGCCAAGCGCTTCTGGAGGAAGCGGTCGGCAAGGTGGCGCGAACCAAGTGGAGAAGGCAGGGGGGTGTTGGTCAACTGTAAAGGAGGGGCCAAATAAGAGGGAGGAAACGTCATATAGTGACCCCAGCCTTGGGAAGCTCGCCATGTGGCTGCTTGTCGGCGTTGGGTGCTTCGAAAGTAACTTTTCTAAGCTGGACAGCCCCATTT